TGGCTCACGAGGTGACCGACATGTGGGGTGGTGTGCCGACTGAAATTATCCCGATAGTCGTTTCTGCCAATGGGTTAATCCCAGTCAGCCTCTCTAAACATCTGAGGCGACTGGGACTCCGGGACGGATCGCTCCAAGCTCAAATGCAGAAGGCGGTGCTCCTCGATACCGCCCGCATCGTCCGCCGGTTTCTCTCCCTTTCGCCCTAACCCTCGGCCGTTTGGTCTCCCCTGCCGAGGGCTTCCGTCTGGTTGGGTCCTATTTATATATGTATTATATAAAATATTTATATATATATGTTTATTTTTATCCATAATATTTATTTTATATATGCAATATATATCTATATTTTTATTTTTATTTATAAACCCAACCAGACGAGAAAACAAATGAATACCCCCCTATAATAATAAGGTCGATTGTCACAAACAAACCTGATATCGTGTTGATGGACCGGGCACAGTTGCGGGTATTTTGGTCGACATTACCATTCCATATGACGAGAACCTCGTGAAAGCCGAAACAGATAAGAAGACAAAGTATCTGGACCTGGCTCACGAGGTGACCGACCAAATAAATATCCCCAAATAATAATAATAAAATATCTTTATTCACATAGACGCTTGCGCCTTCTCATGAAACGTCAAAATTTTACAAGAAATTAACACGTTCGTAAGTTACCACCGGTTCGGAAAGCAGTTTCTGTTGAGAAGAAACCGGCAAGAAACTCAACAGTTGCTCTTTTTTTTAAAAATCAGTTTACAATATAATAGTACAGGTATAATAGTCTTGTTTTAGCGTACGTGAGTATCAACAGTATTAACCCCACACATTGGCGTTCAGCGAGTCAGAGATATTCAGCAATAGTATAATATATGCTTTAGCCATAAGTTTACTTTTAACTTTTCGTTTAAATTCATCAAGTGGCAGACTTAATATCGACTATGGGATTTTATTATACATACGCACACTTTGCCCCATGAACGACCTGTTTACTTTCTGTAGGCGAAATAATGGCGTAGTTAGTTTGTCCTTATTATTGTAGTATTATATAGTAATGAAGTATTATACTTCTGCGTTTCATCTGGCAGCGTTTATTACTTAACATCAGATGAACCGTCAGCTCGCTTCCCACCTTTTCGCCTAAAAAAAAAATAGTGTTAGGTATGGTAATAATGGTGACTGAAATTATAGAGTCTTAATGGCTTAGGCGTGGCTTACAGCAGGGTCGATAAAATCGTGGGTTTTCTAAAAAATCTAAATAATCGGATATAATAATTGATTTATATCAGATCTTTTTTTAATGGCGTCTTTCAACCTCTTTACATTCAAAAGTTTGTTGTTTTTAAAAAGACATCTTAATTATCAAAGTCAAAGTCAAAATCAAAGTATATTTATTCAATATAGGCCTAACTTAAGCTCTTATTGAACGTCAACAAAAAATCTAGCACCGGTTCACTAAACTAGACTTGCACAGAGAAGAACCGGCAAGAAACTCTGCGGTCTTGTTCTTTTTGTTATATATGTATATATATATATATATATATATATATATATATATATATATATTTAATGCAATTATACACACTTATTTGGGTATAAAATCAGCTGCAGCCAGGGGTCTTGCAAGTGCAGAGCAAGAGTCATTTCCAAACATCCTTGTCCTCTATGTATTCTTGGATATTATAGTAGGCCCTTGCCATTAGGGTAGCTTTTACAAATTGTTTGAAATTGTTTATACCTAGTTGTTTGTGGATATCACCTATTTTATTATAAAAGTTGAATTATAAAATAAAGAATCCAGATTGGAATTCTTCATTAACATGCAATTGGAACAACGGAGACGTTATTATGAACCAGTACAGTAAAAAAGGAACATAACTGCATTGCTCCGCAGCCCTCTTATGACCTTGCGAGTCTGCTTATTCGTGCAAAACCATGGCTTAAACGTTACCCTTTATCCAATGTAATAAACTTATATAGATAATACTTATAAAAATCGGCGAACTTATTTGCGTCTATTATTAAAATATGAGTGATGTGTCATAATCGAGCAAAGTAATTTGTATTTGTTTAACCAGTTTTTGAAGTATCTCGTCTTCGCAATCTTAGCAATCAAGATTTCCACCTGAGAGATTTTTCAGAAATGCAACAAAACAAGCAACATGTTTTTCACTACACGGCGTAAATTGGCCAATTTACTGGTTCGCATTTTTCGAAAGTTAACTTTAGTTACGTCCAATATTAACTAAAAACTTCTTATTTAAAAATTTAATTCTATCAAAGGACCGATATTTAATACTATATTTTGGCAGATAACTACCACTAAACTACTCCGAAAACGTTATAAAATATATGCATATTATTTCTCACAAATTTTAAAAATTTTTAGAAATTTTAAATAAAGTTTAACATCAAAAATCCGATGTTATGGGTAGACCTATATTTATTTCTCTTGACTCAATCTACTTATAAATAAAAAAAATATTCAAAAACGGCCGATTTAAGTATTCTATCTTCAGATCGATTTGATAACTAGTGATAGTGATTTTGGCATTAGTTCCATAATACAACGTCAAAATTCTATCTCAATTAATTAAATCTATACGTAGTTAGAATATTTAAACCGGCCCTTAGACAACTGGAAACGAATGGTTTCTGCTATTTCAATTAAAAAAAAACGGACGTGTATTTTCAAGTGACAAACTCCTCCGCTTCAAAAACGGAGGAGGTTGTCAATTCGACTGTTTTTAAACGGTTTTATTTAGCTTGACCCGTACGGAATTTGTTTATTTATTTGGGTCAAAATTAGAAATTGAAATTTAAGCACCTTCCCGTTGTCAGATTGATCTGAAATTTGGTACACCCATTTAATTTTGATGACAATACAATATTGTAGTTTTCAGTGCACATAAAATAAAACCGTTTAACTTAAAAGTTTTTAAACGGTTTTATTTCCTTATTATTTATGTTTGTTACCTCAGAACTTTCGACTGAGAGAATCGATTTTGATGATTCTTTTTTATTTGCACGCTAGTGCTTCCCATATGGTCCCATATTAATTTCATTTGTATTGGATCTTGGACTCTGGAGATACGTAGGGAACTTCTGAAAATTAATTATAAAATTAATGCAGAGCGAGATATTTGAAGTCGGTTTTGTTTTTCGTTTATAAAAAAATGACTTGTTTTAAATCTAACAATGGACAGATATTTACTTTTTAAATTCTGTTCTTTGGTTCTTAAAAATCAAATCTTAAATCTTCGTTTTAATATAACAATTGGGTAGACCTGTCCAGTCTCTGTCGGAATCGGGGATCGGGAATGAAAAACGCACCTCTACACAAAATTCTGGCAAATATGTAAGACGTTATTATTATGAAAACATTGTGTTAGCGACCTATTTTCATGTTGCAATTGTGTATTTTATATCTTCTACTATGTAATGAGTTGATTATGCTGGCAATTACGACAACTTGACAAATGGTAGAGTCATTGTAACAGAGTGTAATAAACATAATTATAAGTTTACATAATTTCGGAGGCATGGTTCGTTACTTTTTAGTAGTCTGTGGCGAGTGTAATATATTACTCAGCAAGGTAGGAAGCTAATGTTAGTAGATAGTAGAGTCAACTGATGTGAAAATTATTAGTAGAAACTTTTTAATTGGGTTAACTCAATTCTTCTGCAAACATGAGAAGCGGGTGGTATATCTAACGTATCTACTGTGATCTAATAATTGCTTCTAAGTACAATGTTAGGTATTAATAGTAAAGTACAGTAACAGCCTTCGTGTGTCACAGCGCTGAGTAAAGCCCTCTGCAAAAGGGTTTTAGGGCAAAGTCCATTAAGCGATTCCACTGATGACTAGCAGATTTCGCATACATTATTTATTTTTATTATTTAAAAAATATTCAGGGTTCCTCACTATCTCTCTCTTCACTGTTGAGCACGTAGTAAGCAGGCTTGATCTCTATCAGAAATAAAACCAGTTACTAGTAAGATTTCCAATGATACTCTGAATTGTGAATATACAATTACAATTAGGTATACTATATTTTTTATTGCATTACTGCAATTAGTTTTTGTATGTTTTATTTACACAGAAGACCGGCGTAAAGTAGAAGTGTTACACTTCTGCGTTTCGTCTGGTGAGTGAGGTAGCCGGGGACCACTTTATTTAAAGGTGGCAACGCTACGGATGTTGCGAACGTCCATGGGCGGCGGCGATTACTTAACATCAGGCGCACCGCCAGCTCGTTTGCCACTTTTTCACTTAAAAAAAACTTAATTTCCATTGGACAGAATTCTCGAAAAGTGAACAAATTAGATTCGCCTAATATCGTCGATATATATATTATAATGTGATAGCTCTCGGTGGTCCAATATTTACCAAGGTCGAGAAGGAACCAGCAATCTCTTTGGAGTCGTGACTCCACATACGCGATGTGGTTAAAAATACTTTTTAATTATTGAAACTTTTAAAAAATATTTGATCTAAGGCACGTAGTCATGACCTACGATGATATCGAACATATTAATCAACAACAACAACTACCTCACCAGCATACCAGAACTTATCTGTTATTTTTTTTTCATTCATTTAATTAACCCACACCTTTATTCCTAAATTATTTCTTTTTAGTCCATCCAAAGGTTGCCTGGAAGAAATTACTCTTAGTAATAAGGCCGCCCATTGTATCCATCACTTCTACATTAAGTTTTAATTTTTGTTTGTTTTATTTTTGGTACGCAATAAAGTATATTCATTCATTCATTCATTATCTGCTAGGTAATAAACTCACTAGTAAACTCACTATTATTTTGTTATAAATACATATTATCGATATAAAAACACTAAGAGACTAGAAAAACACGATGTTCATCACACAATACTTCTCCAGCAGAGGGTTACGAACCCACACAAAGGCGCAAGAGACATAGAGTTCACTGACCGCTACACCAATCGGCTCACTAACATATTATTTATACGATTGCAGGGACGAAAACGATACTCAAACAGGCTTCGGGCTTGTTCAAGTCCGGCCAGCTCACGGCGATTATGGGCCCATCCGGTGCCGGGAAGTCGTCGCTAATGAACGCCCTCACCGGCTTCTCGTGAGTGATGCATTTTTTATTTACTGTTTACATTTTATAGCTGTTAACCGCGGCTTCGCCTGCTCGGCCAAAGGGAATTAACAACGAGTTTTTTATTATACACCATTATAAAAAAATCATATTTATATCTCGCAGTTGGCTAGTCACACTGATGACACTTATAATTACCCATATTTTGGTCAATTCACACAATATCTTTTTAAATTACAAGCCTATGTGTAATTCTGATGCATAATCTAAATTATTTAAAATTAAAACCTGTCATCATTAAAATCCAGTCAGTAGTTTTTGCGTGAAAGAAAAACAAACATCCATCCATACATACAAACTCTCGCGTTTATAATATTAGTAAGGATTATGTGTAAAGGCAGTACCGTCTTTACCATAAGGGCACACGGGGCCCGTACTTAAGTTTGTTGTCACGGCGTCCCCTCCCAGTCAGATAACAGCTACCGATCGAGCCGAGGTCCGGCCCTCTCGGGCACCCTCGAATCGGAATGCTAAACGCGTGCTGAGTGACAGCCCAAGCCGAGGTCCCCTCTCGTCGGGGACCCTTGAGCCAGATCACTCCATGGAGCCCCCGCCAAAGCGCCCTAAGAGCTAGGCGGCCTCCCAAACCGGTGAATTAAATAGCGTGACGGCCCGAGCCGAGGTTCCTTCGGGGGCCCTCGAGCTTAGTCACCATAACGCGTAATAGTAAATACGCGAGGTTCAGGCTAGGCGCCTCGAGCGCCCGGCCACCTCAAGTCCGTCGGATCTGTGGTGAAGGCCCCTAAGGCCAACAGTGGCTCATCCAGCCCAAAAAAAAAAAAAAAAAAAAACGGCGTCCCCGTAGCCTACGTATTTGCTTAAACTATAGAAATTTTTCTCTATTTTAGCAGATATATTCCGACAGAAGTTTATAGAATAAGTAAAAAACATAAGAATAGCAAAAAAATGTTTTTGTCATTCAACTTTTTTACGGACATCAACCCTCCTTGTGGGCAAAGAACCAGATCACCGAGTAAACATGCTTAAAAATCTTTATTATACTGTAGAGGATTTTCACGAGAAATGAGATTCCGCAAAATCTTGTGCACCCAGCACATTGTGAGCCCCGACAGCGAATTAGTGTTAACAGTCCCTATAAAGCTGAGTACGGAAAAGCAAACCGTCAGGAACATTGAAATAATACGTAAAAAAAAGTGCCGTGATAGCTCAGTGCCCGGGCGCTCGCCTTTAATTCAATATACTCGAGCAACCTGAGTTTGATCCCCGGTGCCGGCACCAATGAAGTTTTTAACTTTAAGTGCTGACTTATCGCGTGCTCCGCGGTGAACGAAAACATCGTGAGAAAACTTGCATATTTTCGAAATAATAACAAAAAATATATGTGAAGTCCGCCAATCCACAGTGAGGCCGCGTGGTGGACTATGCCCTGAAACCCTCTGTATAGAGGAGGCCTTTGCCCAGCAGTGGGACATGTATAGGCTGTTACTTTAAGTACGTATACGGAAAACAGCTTATACATCCTATTTATAATGAACAAGTCACTCCGTAACACTTTAAGATATGGCTGTAAACATTACTTATAGTATAGTAAATAGTGATAACTACGGTAAAAATCTGTTTGTACAAATCTCCGTGTACGTGCGTAAGTAAAAAGAAAATTAATTTAACTAGTAATTGATTATACCCAAGATCTCGTCAAAGTAGACTCGTATATTAACTGTGTATATGTTGCATAACACCAGACATGGTGTGATTTTTAGAAATACCGTGAAATACCGAATTTTAGACGAACCAATATAATAGAGACCAATGCTTTTAGTAATTGGCACATGCTTGTAACTTAAACAGTTTAAATCAAGGGAACCGCTTTTGAAGTTACCATTCTTTTTATTGACATAAAATAAAAAAAAAATATTAATACAAGAACCTTCAAAGCAATGTAATTTACATAACTAGAATAATATTAAGTAATTTACGAAAATATTCACAAAAAAGGCGATTACTACTTCATGTTATTATATGTTTTAAGCAAACATTATAATTTAACTTAATTATTATTTTTTATTTTTATGTATACTGGTGGCAACAATGGCTTCTTTTTCTACCTTGACGAAATGGGTTTTTTGTTGCTATTCCGTTTCTTATTTGTTAAGATTTAAAATTAATAGGTTCAAATAGTAGACATTGTTTTATTTCTAACAATATAAAGTGAAATAATACGAGAGCGATACGTTAAAATGTAATTAGTTACACATTAGTTATTACAGTGAAAGAAATGGATCACAAAATAATTTGGATAGTCAATGATCTGCTAGATGGTAATAGAATATTATATGTCTAATATATATAAAATTCTCGTGTCACGGTGTTTGTAATTGAACTCCTCCGAAACGGCTCGACCGATTTTCGTGAAATTTTGTGGGACAGGGTGGAGAATCGGATAACATCTATTTTTCATCCCCCCAAATGCTAAGGATGGTCCACCCCAAACATTTTTTCTATCCTACAAATAATTTATATGGCAAAACAACGTTTGCCGGGTCAGCTAGAAATATTATATATTCGAGTTCTATGCTATATATATATCTATATGTTCCATGTATAATGTACATTTAAATATTTGCAGGACACATGGCGTCACGGGCACCATTCGGGGCGGCAACAGTGTCTGCGTGCTGGACGAGAAGGAGAAGTCAACAGATTCCCTGAAGGAGTACAGAAAGAAATCCTGCTACATTCTCCAAGACGACCGGTTGAACCCACTCTTCACTGTCGCCGAACTTATGAAGTTCGCAGCGGATATGAAGCTGGGATACACGCTAACGGAGAAATTAAAAAGGAGTGTGGTAAGTTATTAACATTTTTATTTGCATGGACTATCAAATGCAATCTCAACTGACATGCGTTAAGAGACAAAATATTACGTTGCTTGAAATCCTAAAATTATCTAAAGTTTTATTTACTCTTAAAGAATGAAATGAAATGAAGATGAATTTTTAATGCCACGAAGCAGACTCTGCTAGTACCACGGCCCCTCAAAACACTCACGTAACGTAAAAGTGTTCATCCCCAGCGATGATGTATTATAATGAATTGGCGATGAGCAAGTTTTTCCCACAACAGTCATTTCACATTTTCACAACAGTCAAGTCAAAAAAGTAAGTGTGTAAATGATCGTGATACGTACCGCCTTTTGTTTCGGGGCCGCCCGATTACCGACCGAACTATTATAACATATTTTTTTTTTCGGTGAAATTTACCATCGTATTCGAATGATATTTTCATTCCCTAAAAACTGGGATAAAACAAAATTTTCTAAAAATGAAACCTAGCCGGATCGATTTTTCGCCCACGAATGTACGCACATACTAAATTTCATTAAAATCGCGGGAGCCGTTTCCGAGATTCCGATTATATATAATATATATATAAGAATTGCTCGTTTTAAAGGTATAAGATTATACTAACATAGCAGTGTTCAGCTATAGAGATGTCAAATGTAGTGAAATAACTGGTTTGGCCAGTTTAGAGTTAACTGTATCTCCACGAATGTTATAAATGTCCAGGGGCCGCGGTTGACACATGCCGTCCTATATTCATAAAACAAAGAACTATTCAAGATTATAATGGCATACGAGGATTTGAGTTTGACTTTATATCTTCATGTGTTACCCTTGAGAGCAAAATGTATCGAGTTCGATTGGATAAACCAAGAACTAATTCTGAGTCCATTTATAAGAAGGGTTAAGAATAAAAACTTTAGAGAAACACTTCTCTAATATTAATATACATCAATTATAAAATGAATACAGAGCGAGATATTTGAAGTCAGTTTTGTTTTTCGATAGTAAAAAAATGTTTATTTTTACAGTAAATAAATACGATCAAAATTCAGAGCAACGTAACTAACTTATCTAAAAATGTGTTATAAAGCCCTTAAAACTCAACGCTTTTTCTCGGAATGTTCATTAATTTTGAATTTCCATGAGTAGCTCACATAGATAAATCAAGGAAAAGCTAAGCACAATTATTTCACACTTTGTCATAAGCAAGATTAGATAATAATCATTAGAGGCAATAGCTTAATTTTTTATTATTGTAAATGTTTATTAAATGTTTATTAGTTACTGTTATGTCAAATAGTATTCGATTTTATGGTTATGTAAGCAATATAGGTATTAATACGGTTCATGTGTTGCATATTGCTATTTTCCTTTAGAATCGAATAATCGCGATCAAGGTGCACTGGATGAAAAGTAGAACGGATAGAATTAAAAGTAGTAACAAGTTGAAATAAATTCTCTATTGTCCTGTTATCATCTAATATTAAATGCAACTCCTCCGTCTTCATTTTCAGTTGATTGAACATCATCTGAACTTGAAAAAATCCGACAGTTCACAAAAAGTGGTTGGAGCTTTAATGCGAAATTTGTAAAGCAAAATATTGCCATTGAAAAATAGTATAGAATTTTGCCGAATACGACTAAGATTTTTAGATTTGTGATTTGGCGCCACCGCCTTAGATACAAAAACCGGCCAAGTACGAGTCGGACTCGCGCAAGACGGATTTCTTATCATTATCTATAAAAACGGCAAAAAATCATGTCTCCCGTATAGGAGCCCTCCCTATATAATTTCTTATTCTGTTTTTGAGTATTTGTTGTGAAAATTTCAACTATCTAACTATCACGGTTCATGAGATACAGCCTGGTGACAGACGGACAGACAGACAGACAGCGGGGTCTTAGTAATAGGATACCGTTTTACCCTTTGGGTATGGAACCCTAAAACAGATAGGTGTAGCACGGAAGGCAAAAGTTACAAAATGATAAAGAAGGAGATTAATATATATATAAATATAAGGGACAAATGATAAAATCATTTAAAAATACAATAATAAATATATATTTATATGAATAAGCGTCAATTTGCTTCTATTTATAATAGTCGCTTGGACCTTAAGAACTGCTTATCTCCAACAAGTGTTCACGAACCAGTCTTTTAAAATGGGCCTTACTTGTTGCGTTTCTTACGTCATCAGACAAGGAGAATCAAAGATGTGTAGCTTTGCACTTCATAAACATTGTGGAACTTACAAAATCATTGTAGCCAGCGTTCACTATTAATTTGGTCTAACCAATTGAACTACGACTTAATATACGACAATAACTTATAAAAAAAATCTGACCCATTCTCGAATCGACCTAAAAACACACAAAAAGTTTCATTTAAATTGGTCCAGCCGTTTAGGAGAGGTTCAGTGACATACACACATACAGAAGAATAATATATGTAAAGATTATAAAATACTAATAATTATAGTAAAATGAAAATTATCATGGTAGGACAGTTTATACTATTATGTGAAAAAAATTAAAATAGAAAGCTTAGCTTTGAATTTAGCTTGCTTAAGAAGTTGTTATTTTAATATTACAAACAGACACTCCAATTTTATTTATCTGTATAGATCCAAATCGGTCCAGCCGTTTCAGCGATTAGCCGGAACAAACAGACAGATAGACAGACAGACAAAAATTGTAAAAAAAATATTTATCTGTATAGATGTTGACGGTAGTAGTGTTTTTTGACAATAAGTAATTGTAATACTATATTGAATAAAGATATTTAAATTTGAACGGTACGGAACCCTTCGTGTGCGAGTCCGACTCGCACTTGGCCGGTCTTTATTCAATAAATTGTCGATATGATGGCAAAAACGATATCAGAAAGATTGAATTACATATTTTGTCGTAATCACCAGAGACTTAGGCCTGGTAAAACATTCATCTTAGAGACGCTTTAAATCAAGACGCAAATATTCACCCATGAAATATCCCGTGGCTCTGCCGACATACGCCTAGGCGGAATGTCGTGGCCGGTGCGAGTTTGACATAAACCGCTCTTGCCCCCGCGAGGACTTTCCCACACGTAAAAAAAAGATAATTATGGAAAGCAATTAATTAGTGAGTAGGAAATAGTATAACAATATTAATAACTAGGGCCTTATCAACTGAGTCTTCAGTTTTGTGTGGTTTAGTTTTTTTTTTTAGCTTGGAACTAAGAAATTGACAAATGAAATTCTTACCAGGTTGCAGAGATCCTGGACACGCTAGGGTTGTCAGGAACAGAGAACACACGCTGCTGTAACCTATCAGGCGGACAGAGGAAGCGGCTGTCCATAGCGGTCGAGCTGATCGACAATCCTCCGGTCCTTTTTCTGGATGAGCCCACGACGTAACTATCACAAATTCAATTTCATTTACCCATAGGTAAACTTGCTTGGGCACTCTTGGGGTACTCGGTATGGAGTATTAATACCCCTTTGTTATTAAAATTTCCGCTAAACATTTCATTTAATATTAAATTCTTATCTACTCGAATTCGCCCAGTTGACCATTGTTGTTGACATGCATTCATTTAAATTTTTTCCAAACACATTTTTTTCTACTCTTATACTTGTTAATTATATATCTGACAACATAAACTTTTATATGTACTAAGAATACATAATAGTTCAGTACCACAATACAGGTAGGGAATAAACCTAATTTTTACTTTCTTTTATTAGCACTACCAAAGCTTAATAACTACTGAACAAAAAAGAAAATTCCTTTGTCAAACAGATAAGAAAAAGTAATCTGATGTGTTTTGTCTTACCTATTTATATACAAAGTTAAGCAATAGCACCATTTGAGTACAAATTTTTATGACATCGCTTGAACATGTTATCAATGCTCCAAATCAACAGTTTAAAAATTCTCTACCAAAAGTTATCAAAATTTCCAGCGGCCTTGACAGTTTGACGTCGAAGCAGTGCGTGGAACTTCTCAAGGATCTGGCACGAGATGGACGAACCATAGTGTGCACGATACATCAGCCTTCCGCTTCCCTTTACATGTTATTCGATCAGGTAAATACCCTCCTAACTTATACCCTAACGTGGCTATAAAACCTAAAACCATAGCTTTGTGATCTACCTCGTTAACTATTTCATTTTCACTTAACTATGGAACGAATTACGTATAAAAGTAACAAATATCTAAAATTTAACTTTTGTATCTAATAACATTTCTGCAACCTCGTTATCTACATTAAGAAAATAAAAGCAGTTCCGTTAGAAAGAAACATTTCTTCAGTCCATGTGTCGAATTCATCTTCAAATATGTTATAACAGCAAAACTAACGAAAACCGTCTATGTTATGAAGTCTTGCGTAATGTAAAGGCGCAAAAATATAGCGATCAGAAAGTTTCCATTCCAAAAATTTGTTCACAGCTTTGCATTGAAACCAGATTTAGAGTACAAACAAAAGAATAAGCCACAATATAAATCAACAGAAAACAAGATAATGATGACACTGTAATTTCTTTTCTACAACAGGTTTACGTATTATCTGATGGGATGTGCATTTACAACGGGAGAAGCGAAGACACGGTGCCCTATTTAGCGGCCATAGGGCTCCAATGCCCTAAGTACCATAACCCTGCCGACTACAGTAAGGCTTAATTTAGTTCCTTATGAATACCTGGTAATGCTCAAATAATACTTTGATAAATTTATAGGTTTTTTATATGTTTTACAATATGTTTTTTACGTTAATATATAAATTTCGTACATTAATGTGTGATGATACATCATCACGTTAATTATTTCCAGTTACGGTAATTAAAATAATTTTAATAGTCCTTACGCATAATTCTTTGCGTTTTAAAATTCACACAATTCCAGTTCCGCTATTCATTTTGATTATAGATAAACAATGCGTATTGTTTGTATAATTGATAGTCAAGTTTGATAGTCCTATCAGTACTATCAAATTTTCCTTGTCTTACCGACTAATTAATGAAGTAATATTACTGCCAAAGGTATAAGAGATCTCAATCTGTGTGTTGTTCTTGTCTGATTTTTTGACTTTCTTAAGAGTAAAAGTAATTTTTTATCTAAGCCAGTATACGGATATCTATCTATCTATCGTTATAATATAAAGAGGTGATAGGACAGTTTGCGGATATATATATACGTCTAAACTTATTTTGTTTCTCGAAATGAGTAACTACTTCTTCTATCTGATTAAATAAAGACGTCGTACATTTGTGGGTATCTTGACTCCTCATTGTTCACAGACGTGGTAACTCTTTGTTTCATTTATTAAATTTCGCTGCCCCAACGTCGAACTTGAGTTCGTGTTAATTCGTTTACATCTAGTAGTGGATAATGCAATAGTATTCATGTTTATTTAATCTATAGTTGTGTACTCTTTAATAGTGGGTCTTAAGAAGTAAATAAAAGGGTCCAATTTATAAGTGTTAAAAAGTCAAGTGTTAAGTTGTTTTAAAGTCACGTGACTAGAAGAGTGATGAAAATGAATGTGGTTGGAGGGTGCAAAGCTGGAGGTAGACGAAAAAGATTTGACTGGACTGTGTGAAAAATTATATGTCTGTAAATAGGGTCAGTATTGAGATGACGTATATGATAGAGGAAAGTGGAAGGAAAGGACATAGCGTACCCCACCTAGTGTATCCCACCCCAAGGGCAAGAGAACGATGGAAAACTGGAGATCGCGTTTGAACATATTTAATAATAGTCCAAGCAATCTGACGCCTCCTAGTGAGGCAGTTTGCGAATCATATGCCCCCCATTTCCAAGTACTCGAGATAGCCAATGGTGAGTACGGCAACTTCAACGAGCTGCTAGCCTCGAGGTGCTCACAACCCGAAGAGACGGAACCGCCGCCGGCCACCGACGACGGCCAACCTAAGTTCTCGTGCGGCAAAATGTCCACGATAATCCACCGACCCCACGAGATCTACAAGTTCAGTGTGCTGTTCAAGCGTTGCCTCGTGCAGCAGTACCGGGACTGGGTGAGTTTGTTTAGTGAGTTTAGTATAGCTGTAGACACATTTTGACGACCCCGATTGGCATGGGGAGTAATGAACCCACTGGAAAAATATCGTGTGATGAACATAGCGTTTTTCCAGTGTCTGGGTGGTTATATATATACAATATGTATTCATTTACAAAAGAAAAATATGTTTGAGTATGTTTGTCAGAAAAAAATAGGATGGCCTGATGACTCCGTTGCGCAGTTTTCGAGGTATCGGCTTCGGCGCCCTGGGTTGTGGGTTCGATTCACACTCGGGACAACTATCTAACGTGATCCACAGATAATTGTTTCCGGTTGGGTGTTTGTCCGCGTGAAATTTATTTCTGTAAAATCCTTACAACACATCATTATGGGTAAACATACAGCAAGGGCAATGTTTAAAAAAATATGGTAAGCTCTTGGTTGCGTAAACGGTTTTCAAGTCAAATTTTCGTGGGCTCTGTGACCAAATTACTAAATTAGGGTAATAAGCCTAAAAAACAAAATTAAAGGATTATAAAGGTCGAACTTAATGCCTTTTGTATTCCTTGAAATGTGGAGATAAATTATTGTGGTACGTGTAATAATTACACCCAAAATATGATTTATATTGATTACTAATATACACGCTGTGTCTTTACCACCGCGACACTAAATGAACACACGTCTAACGCTACTTGCCAATCATCATAAAAAAATGTTAACGTTAAAAAATCCATAATTAAAAAAAAAATTTAAACAAACTAATTAACCAAAAAAGAAACAAAATTTGTAACATCCTATACAACTACAACTGACTGATTTATACATTCTGAGACTTTCATTCGTTGCCACAGCGCCGCATTACAAGGCTCTCCTTCTAAGAGTATGTTTTGTCTCTTTTAAATTAATTCAACCCATTCATTTGTTTTGTGACATTTACAAATGAACTTTACATTAAAGTTTTATAAGTAAGGTTGTTCTAAAATTCTTTGTTTTGGAAAATTTTATAACTCGTTAAATATTGATGTTTAAAGAATGTAAATCTTTAATACAATTTTAAAAAGTTATCCTCTATATGTGTGTTCATTTATTGTCACGATGGTAGAGACACGCTGTATATTATATACACATGTATAAATATTTTTTATTATATTGAGAGTTTTTATAATCTATAACAATCATATCAGTGCGGACTTTGTTGTGATCTATTGCTATTTTGATCGATCGTACACGCCCTCTACGAGTACACAGGCCTTTTTACATGTATATCATGTCTTCACAAAAACATCCAACTTTTTTATACAACAAAACTGGTATCGTGGAACAGGTATAATATTAAGAACAGCGCTTAAATATTCCATTAATTGCAATTATAGAACGATGATTATATTTTTAAGATATATGATTATAGAAATCTTCCAAGGTAATAACTTCACAACGATTGAAATAATATAATTGGCGAGTTCTTTTTTAGCATTCAGGATGTTCATACTTGCCTTAACCATGTTTTATAATCCCGCAAGTGTCATCATACTATTTACTAATGGTTTTCCGGGGACATTATTTCATCTGATTCCATCACCATCATCATCATCATATCAGCCGTAGGTCGTCCACTGCTGAACATGAGACTCCCCCATTGACTTGCACTTCGACCGGTCGGTAGCGAACTGCATCCAACGAGTCCCTGCAATCTTTACTTTAACGATGGTAGAGCCACGCAGCAGCCTCGGCTGTTGCACGATTGGGCAAGCTCGTCCGGGCAAGTACCACGACCTCACAGAAGACCGGCGTAAAGTGGAAGTATGATAAATACTTTCGCGTTTCGTCTGGTGAGTGAGGTAGCCGAAGCCCAATTTCCAAAAAGGTTGTCAACGCATCTGCAAACCCTCGGGTGTAGCAGATGTCTATGGGCGGCGGTATTCACTTAACGTTAGGCGAACCGTCTACTCGTTTGGCAACTTTTCACATAAAAAGAACGTCCGTCCACCTTGCGGGAGAGGCCTTTCTAAGCTGTGCTTGCCGTCACGTGGTCTCCACTCAAGAACTGATTTGCGGCTCGATAAAATATTATTGTCTTTTGACAATAACATCTTTACTAATATTATAAAGGCGTAAGTTTTTATGTATGGACGGATGTTTGTTACACTTTCACGCAAATACTTCTGAATGTATTTTAATGAAACTTTACTATAATATAGCTTATACATCAGAATAAGACAGGCTATAATTTAGATACACATTTTATGTATATCTGTCTTTCTGTCTAAATGTTACGACTTCAGCATATTCTACATTCTGCAGACGTAGTCGCGGGCAGCAGCTAGTTAACAATCTACGATTATCTCTTTAAAGTTTACTAGCCACCCGCCCCGGCTTCGCACGGGCGCAATGTATTATACATATAAACCTTCCTCTTGAATCACTCTATCTAAAAAAAAAACCGCATCAAGATCCGTTGCGTAGTTATTAAGATCTAAGCATACATAGGGACAGACAGACAGCGGGACGACTTTGTCTTATACTATGTAGTGATATTTAAAATTGAATAGGCTCTAAACAGCGGCACTTCCTTTCAGACGGTGACCCACCTAAAGGTGCTGCTTCACGTGATGATCGGAGTCCTAATCGGGCTGATGTACGAGCAGGCAGGAAGCGACGGCTCGAAGACCATCAATAACCTCGGCTACTTCATAGTCTCCGCCGCCTACCTTTGCTACACCTCACTCATGCCCGCCGTCCTCAAATGTGAGTGCCGTCCTATCTTTTTTATGCTAAAAGTTGACAAGCGATGGATAGCATAAGTAGATAGTTAGAAAGCGGTCCACCCGGTGCTACGCACCTACCATTTAGAAAATGTCCTTTTATCCCTGTTTTCAGGGAATGAAATATGAGGGTAAATATCGCCGCAAAAAAAAATGTTATAATAGCTCGGTCGGTAATCGGGCGGCCCCAAAACAGACGGCCGTGGTTCGTGTCACGATCATTTACACACTTTTTTTTTCTTTTTTTTTCTATTCCAGATCATTGCTTTCTTAATTTTTTATTTTTTGTTGATCCAGATGATTTTGTTATTTTTTTCCCTTTTTTTTTTAAAGTTATTTCATTTGTTCACTACTTCATATTTTCTTATTATTAGGTCGGTAAGATCGAAAAATATTACTACTCAGTAATTTGTATATAAATGGAATTTCCAAAATACACGGTTTACCAAAAAAAAAAACAACCCGAGCAAAGCTCGGTTATCCAGGTACTATTTATTAAACCAACATAGGGTGAAAATATGACAGTTAAAGCTGCATTGAATGCATCTGTCTTCTACGTTTGTTATCTAATAATTTTGGTTTATTCTCCTTGCGAACTAGTAGCCTTAATGTGACAAGTTGTGGTCATTATACATATTTTAAAAAATTATCTTGTTCTGTACTTAATTCTTCCCACGCTTAAGTCAAACAAACTCGTTCTTTGGTATAACCTAAACAGCATTTTTTCTTCACAATTTTTTTCTCGCCACCAAACGTTTCATGGTCTAACCGGTTAAACAGCTTTAATTAGAAAAACAAAATAAAAAAACTTAATTTTATATGCTAAACTGTAACACCAAAAAAAAACTTAGTAAAAAGTATACATAAATCTGTTGGTCTGTTAATTAGCAGACCTTGGGTTAGTCCACGAACCCTGTGAAATTTGTATTGTATTATATTACTATTAACATTGCCTTTATGATGCCTCCAACCGTCATATGGAACGAAATAAATTTGGCTAGAAATAGTTTTATACGCTTTAAAACGGATTTCTTATATTTGTGCTCAATTTTGAATTACTCAACCGATTTTATCGTGATTTATTAATTATTGTCGGTGAATGATCAAGAATAAATCGCTTTATCCGTTATGTATGTGTATTATATTGTTATAAAGTATACAGATTGGCTTTAGTAACAAATACTCTCGTTACTCAAATCTATCCGTATAGTCGTTCGGTACTCTACAGATAACCTGCGAAATCCTCCTCCAAAGATTTTCCCCTATTTAAGCTTTTTCAAGATTTTGATGTTTCTTTTTTTGTCGGAAAGGAGATATCCCAAGGGTGGTAAGGAAATCCGGATCTGATGATAGCGTCCAGGGGAAATCGAGGGCCATCATTGAATGTTATAGGCATTAACAATGTTTTTAATTAATTTTCTGATTGAAGTCGGTTTTTTTTTTGCTAAAAATTATTCATTTATGTATCATTATTATTAACATATTTTCTGTTCTTTTGACAGTTCCCCTGGAATTAGCCGTGCTGAAAAAAGAGAACTTCAACAATTGGTACAATCTCAAGACTTATTACGCAGCGATCCTCGTTACCGGTGTTCCTCTGCAGGTTTCTACATTTAGGCGTTATACATAAATTAATATATTATACACTAGCGATCCGCCCCGGCTTCGCACGGGTGCAATGTAGATATTGAATTTCTCGGTTTTTCTCTACCATAATATGCATGCATACTACATATGAACCTTTCGCTTCAATCACTCTATCTATTTACATCCGAATTAAAATCCGTTACGAAGTTTAAAAGATCTAAGCGTACAAGCATCCGGAGCGAATTTGCTTTTTACTATGCTAAGATACGGGAAAAACATAATTATAGTGAAACGACACGCGTAAACGCAGACTGACTGGGATTCAAATATCAGAGCTGAGAGTAGTTTATCAGACTGAGCTGAGTATGCTAAGTGAAATAACTAGGGTGGCGTTAAGGCTAACAATATGTATTGCTAAAAGGTATGTTACTCGGTCCGTCTGTACTCGTATAATGTAATCCTGACAATATTACATACTGCCATATATTTGACAGGACATTTAATTAGCTGACTATGGCCACATCGGGTATTAAAAGTGAAATTATACTTGCTTGCCACAGATCTGCTACAGTTTCGTGTACTCCGCGCCTTCGTATTTCCTCTCGGGGCAGCCGCCGGAGCTGTGGCGCTTTGGCATGTTCGTACTGGTCTTGGCAAACATCACGCTGCTGGCAGACGCCATTGGCAACGTTATTGGCACCTGCGTGAACCCCATCGTGAGTAATGTTTATCATACAAATAGAACTCTCAGACAGATATGGTGTAAAATTCAAAGTTTCTACTGTGGCAGGGACTAGCAGCAGCTTCGGCTGTTGCACGAATGGGCAGGCTCGTCCGGTGAGCTACTAAGGCCTCGCAGAAGACCGGCGTGAAGTGGAAGTATGATACTTTCGCGTTTCGTCTGGTGAGCGAGGTAGCCGGGGCCCGCTTTATTAACGGTTGACAATGCATCTGCAACCCTTCAAGAGTCGTAGACGTCTATTGGTGGTTGCATTCGCTTGACACCATGTAAAACGCCAGCATGCCAATTTTCATATGAAAAAACGATGTCTATTGAATTGCTTTTTCCATGTGAGAAGGTGGTATGCGAGCTCGCGGTTCACCTGATGTACTTAACGTAACCGCCGCACGGGGACATTTGCCACAACCGCAATAGACTAATAAAGCGGGCTTTTGAAGTCGGTCGAAAAATCAAATAATCGGCGCGAAGTGGAGTTACTACGGTTTCGCCTTCGGTCTGGTGACTTTTTAACACGCCTCTGCAACCGGTCCGGTGTTGTACCATGGGCGAGTGGTGATCAGTTGACATGGGGTGAACCGTCAGTTCGTTCGCCGACTTAATAACGTTTAGAGTAGAAGTAGTAGTAGTAGTGGTGTCTAGTTGTACGCAGCTAACCACTTACCCATCATAACGGACAATGTTCCTAATTTCGTGTATTAAATCTGCAATAAAGATTAATATTATTATTGGAATCTGTCTCGCAATCTTAAGTCGGGGGTTTGCTGGTACAGAACTCTATTTAGGGTAAAGCTCGCCTTTCCACGTTTATGTTAACCTTAGCTTTGTTTTCGATTTTATCCGTACTTACAATAAAGTGCGAGGGATAAAAAAAAACAACTCGCCCCCAGAACGGCACCTTCATCGGCGCGATCACCACCTGCGCCATGATCGTGTTCGCCGGCTTCCTGGTTCTGTACGCGCACATGACGCCAGTGATGCGCGTCGTCTCGTACATGTCCTTCCTCAAGTACGCGTTCGAGGCGCTGGTGCTGTCCATGTACTCGTACGGCCGCTCGCCGCTCTCCTGCCCCGACGACGTCATCTACTGCCACATGAGGTAAAATCCGCCGCCAACGATGCTCACACAAACGCGAGGTGGGCGTGTCTAGCGTGACGAAACTGAGCCACTAAAATTGCGGCAATCGGTGCAGTAATATTTTAATTCTATAGACTTGCAACGATGCTATAGACAGACACGAGTTAGATGTGACACTGGCGTGACGAGACTGAGCCACTCAAATTGCGCCAATCAGTGCATTTTTTAACGACACAATATAAACAAAATATATAAATCAAAATATATAAAATCAAAATATTTTTACGACACATTTTTACACCACGTTCTCTAGTCCCAAACTAAGCAACGCTTGTACTATGGGTACTAGAAAACTGATGAACATACTTAAAACATACTATTCTTTTGTAAGTAAATACATATTATACATATATAAACACCCAGACACTGGTAAAACACGATGTTCATCACACAATATTTTTTTCAGTAGTGCTATACACAGACACGAGTTAGATGTGACACTAACTTGACAAGAATGAGTCAAATTACGCCAATTGGTGTAATAATTATATTTCAATTCTGTAGACTGCTATCTCTTTCCGTATCATACGTTCTATATCATTTGTCAAATTCACTTATATACGTCACATAATGTAAAGCGGAACAATTTTTTAAACGCCGCGCAGTATGGAAACCTTTATTAAAACATCATTGTCCACCACAGTCAGTATGCTGCTTTATTGTAGTTTTTTTCGCACAACCTCCGCTTCGGGGGCACGAAACTAGTTTTTGAATAAACCATCACTAAAGTCTTAAAGTTTTAAACGTGATGCAATTGACTGACCGTTCACCGATACTAATTTCTCATTAATTCCCTCCCTATTCCAGGTATCCGAACAAAGTGATCGAAGAGTTCAGAATAAATCCCGACAATTACTGGTTTAACATCGCCGTTCTGTGTACAGAAATATTGGTCGTCAGGATACTGGCATATTTCACATTGAGGAGGACTGTAAAGAAGTCAACTTAGTCCCAAGTGTACGCATTGGAATCAGTGAACTAATTTAAATTTCGAATAGTGAAATGAATATTTTCGTTTTCGGGTATTTTGCTTACGGTGGCGGCGAACGAAACGGGTATTGAGGTGTTTAAGCCTTGCTGTAAACGAAATGAACTTCGATATATACCTATAACGCAACTGACAGTTGTTTTGTCTATATACATATGTGATAGCAATTATTTAGAATAGGACGCCAATGGTACAGAAGAGAATAAGATTTTTCTCGTTATACAAGCATAATTATTAAACTTGTATATTTTTATGTTTGATGTATAAAAACATGTCGCATAGACCATCTTAATTGATATAACTCTATTCATTGTCTAGCCAGATTGATCTCATCGATACAATTGTTGATCCGATATCTACGAATTTTAGCATTCGCCACAGTTTCATTATATGGCCCGTAATAAAATTATGCAAGTATATTTTATGAGGACTCTATCGTACTGGTTACTGGAATAGGCATTTAATTATAGATAACAAACAAATTTTATATACAGGAAATAATTTTATTCTATAATTCCGAATCGTATCAAAATTCATGTATTAAATGTGTTAGGAAACTGTTATATATTTATAACTACGCCACTGTCATGTATACATGATACATTTACTAAAAAACATTCATTTTGAGTAAATAGCTATTTCTGTTGTACCAAATGTACGACTAATATACGACGCACTCTCTCTGAAAAATCATTAATTTTTTCTTAAATCTGTAGGCATATATATGGCAAGGAATTCGGATAAAAACATTTGCGAAAGTGAAATTGCAATGTAAAGTAATTCAACAAAACGACGCATTTTACGGCAATTGGTTCAAAGGGCGGTTATGACAAATTCTATTAACCTATGGGTTACAGCCCGTATAATTGCGATCACCTTTTTTTTAGTTTTTGATTAAACGAGTTAGAAGAAATCCAAAAAGATTAAGTTGTCAGAACTTATATTAACTTGTGGGCGAATCACGAGCACGAGATTAGTTCCTTGTAGAACTAAAAAAGGATATTATGGTCCAAACCAGAATACGAATCAACTGAATCGCTGTGAAGTTTGAAATAAACGAGTTGTTTATTGTTTTAGCATCGTCTTTAAACCATGTTAAGGTACTTAGGTGAGGCAGTCTTCAAATATACCATGTTAATTGAGTCGAGCGACCGATTGAGCTGCCAATCGTTTTTATTATGAATATAGCTATGTAATTAATTTTAAGTATAATTAGTAGAAGAAAATATTTATTATATCGGATAAGAAAACAAAAGCTCGGGAACGTGTCGAATAAATAATATTAAGCAACTGAACGTGATATAAAATGAATATCAGATATTATTAAATAAATGTATGAAAAAAAAAATTCTTTTATTTTATAGATTGTAATAAAATTATAATTACTAACCATTTCATGTTTTTTGTCTCCATACATGAATAAATATTTACTAACTCACCTCCTTCCATAATACATTATTAGTTACTAAATTAAGAAAAATACAAATAAACTAGTGAAAATGACCAGCTGAAGTCAAGGGATACAGTATCTAGCTCAAGTAATTTGTACTTAACCGAAATTAAAATTCATAATTTATATCTACGGCCAGTATGGCGTAAACAGATTAAATGAAAATTGTTTACGGATTCAACGTTTTAATTTTGATTTTTACTTCCCGACGTTTTCAAACCATTTGTATGGGTTACCTTTCTATACACAATATGGTAATAATTAACTGGTAATTTGAACAACATTAAAAGAACACATAGTTAACATGAAGCGCCGACGGTTGAAGAAGTCTGCAGTTTCTACACATTAGATTTAATAATCCGAAAATCCTCGCAAAATAACACCGATTTATCTTAAGGATAATCCGCGTGGTTATTGAAATAAAGCCACATCCTAATTTCAATAGAGCAGATCTTTGGGGTTTATCAGATGATACACATGAAGATTCTTAGGATCCTATAATTTGTAAAATTAAATCCAAGTACACCAACACTGCTAAACCTCAAGGTACGTAATCGGAATATAAATAAATAAAATAATTGGCAGTAGTCCGGCTTATCTATAACATTCGCTTAAAATAAAGAAATCAATACGTCGAAGACAGATTAACTTGCCTGCAACTAGCAATAGATTTCCTAAAACATACGTTTAATAAATCAAATTAAGTATAGATTAACATAACATTTTCTCGAATAAAACACATTTGCGAATGAAAGCACTGATTTAAAAAAAAAAAAAAAAGCCCGCTGAGTTTCTTTCGCCGGTTCTTCTCAGTACAGTGGCTTTCTTTTCCGAACCGGTGGTAGTGTTTTGACTATCAATAAGTGAGTGTAATGCTCCTATGTTGAATAAATACATTTGATTTGATTTTGATTTTGATTACATGAGTGATTGTTTATTTTTTTTTATTTTTTTTCTTTATTATTTTAAAGAATATAAAATATATGAGTAAAAGTAAAGTATAAGTATAAAAGTAGACCAAAAAATTTTCTACCTTGAAAAAAATGATGTTTTCAGAAATATCTCAAAGGAATCCCGATTGCACATCGGCTCCTCGGCTCACCGCCTAAATCGGTCCCACATAAAATACTGTTCTCATCTCTGGGCGTGAGCCCCAGTACCACTTACTTCCATTTGAATGTATTCAGCGTAGGGCGACTCGACCTATCGACGACTAAGCTCGTTCAGATCAGTTGATCCTTTGGCTCTTCTACCGCACTTATCAGTATCGGAGTGTTCCGAGGAATTGTAGGGATCGATCCCTGCCGACGAATTTCACTGCATCGGACATCGGGCCGAAATCTGAAATTTCATTCACATCACCTCAATGGCCAGAGTTTCACAAAGACTTTTTCTGCACAACCACTTTGTCGCTGGCGGTCTTTCCGAACCGTTACGACCTGGGAACCTTCAAGAATAGAGTATGTATGTATAAACAACGAATACTTTTTGACGAAGCCTCGTCTTCACATACCACAATTCAGGCCCAGATGCTGTTACCACTAAGCTAAACGGCTGATTATGTTCATAAAATTATATAAGGGACAAATTCTAAATAAAAAAATGTCCTTTTTTTGTGACATAGTATAGTTTGCTGTAGCTCGGCAGCTTTGACTGCTTCGGTTGAAGAGGTCCGCAAACAGATGACCCGCGGACTCAGATAAAGGTCCACTCTTGTACGTACTTAAAGCAAAGTTGACTGTAAACTTATATAAAGGGTTAATTGGAATTAAATCTAAGTACCAATGAGGTATGGAGGGACGGGCAGGTAACAAAAGGCCTCTCTCTTCGTTATATAACTAGTCTAAGCTGCGTGTAAACTATTCCAAGATTTAATAAGATTTTATGCATTTATTAAACGATAAATAACCTAAGTTATTAAGTTGAACCGATAAACGTAAGCGACATGGACACGTTTATATTTAAAAGCATAGTCGGGCATAATGCAGTGACGAGACGCCCCATTATAATTATTGATTGTTCCATAGCTTGCAGATTGTGCATATTAAGTTTGGTATACGCCTCTTGCTCTAGCATTAACTGCACCTAAAGGACTGTGAGGAACCCTTTTATTTAATCTCTGATATCACTTTTAAAAGATTTGGCGTTGAAGAAGGCGAGCCGTGGTGTAGACCGCAGCCAGAGGCAGGCGCACTACTTACAAGAGTTTTTTCCCCGAGTTTCCCTACCGGTTGTCTGTAGGTGACGAGATAATTAAATTCCGCGTGCGCCTGCTACGCTATACTATCTACGAGCTAGATATGACACTAGCGCACAGTCACTTATATACAAATAATTTGAATGTATAGCGGAAAAGTTTTTAAACGTCACTAAATATGGACTAATATAACATCATTGGTAGACACCATCTGATTTAACAATAATGATTGGGTTTGGCTTAAAGGTTTTGTTACCAGGCCATAAAATCTTTATTAAAAAAAAAAGAATAATGACACTGACAGATTGACTTGACAGTTGACTTGTTTGACACTTCTGGCAACTGGCAGTCAACAAAATAGAGATGGGTCGTATCACTCTTTCTGAGTACCGTATCTGAATCCGATATCGATTGCAAATATCAGATTTCGAAACTATGTATTTTAATATCTAGATATTTTACGGCCCCGTATCCACCTTGAATTCTAAAAAAAAAGAAAAAAAAATATTGACTAAACACTAAAATGACTAACGATTTTTTATACTATTAAGGTACAATTTAAACATTACCAAACAAAATTACCTGATTAAATTAAAAATTTAATTAAAAATAGAAATTGAAGTAATATAAAAATGATTTGTTTTAACATCTTATATATTGCTTAATAATTGACTTTAACATATTTTTAGAACACGCAATCATGAGTGACAATATTTTTAGAATTTGTGTAAGAAATAATACATTCAGTATATATTATTAATTCAGTTATAATAATACATTATAACTTAGGGCGGATGAATTTAAAATATACACACAAGGCACATAAGCCTTGGTCTGATTTCCACCAAAGCAGCACAGCACAGTAAATTATATTTTTCTTTTTATGTAGTTTTATTTTTTTCCAAAAATATGAATAAAATTTAACTAATAAAAATATTCACAAAAAATTTACCTCCTAAAAAATTTCCATTGTATATTTCTCATCCCTTACTATTACGCGTTAGGTACCAATGCAATCCAACTCAAGGCTAAACAAAATATAAAGACATCGTTAATACCGTAATTCGTATTTAAGGGCAACAGAGTTTTTTCCATGCCGTTAAGATTCAAAATTACTTAACTGCGCGCTTTGTCGCCCGTTACGGCTCAAGGCTAAACAAAAGAATAAAAATATAATAATATCGTTGTAATACTCGTTGATACCATGATCAGTATTTAAATAAAACGGATCTTATTTAGATGGAATTAAGATTCAAAATGACTTAACTTATTCATAATATCTGTTTAAAAATCTGATATTGTGCCTTGGTTGCCGTACTGCTCTAACTAGTGTAATATTTGTATCTCACGCTCTTTGTCGCTCAAAATCTGTTTAAAAATCTGATATCGTGCATTGCTTGCCGTCCCGCTCTAACTAGTATTTATATCTCACGCGCTTTGTCGCTCGATATCTGTTTAAAAATCTGATATCGTGCATTGCTTGCCGTCCCGCTCTAACTAGTGAGTATTTGTATCTCACGCGCTTTGTCTCTCGAAATCTGTTTAAAAATCAGATATTGTGGCAAACGCGTATGATATCGCGATTCGTGTCGGTATAGCGAGTGAGCACGGTACATCAGATTTCGGAAATATCAGATATTGTAAAATACCTAAATATTGAACGAGCCAGTAAGCGATATTCGGATATTGTACTAATATCTAGTTTTCATATCTGATACGATTTGTATCGCCCACTTCTACAACAAAAGTATATAGTTTCCTATACAAAAGTACTCTGTGCTGGCAGTGTCAGATGACTATTCACATTTCACTTCACTATTAGTTATTTATTTAGATTTAGCATTGCCAAAATAAAATATTTCACTAAAAGAATTCAAGCAGCACGAATAAAATTAATTACAATATTTAGATCACAAACTAAACACACAATAAATCTATAATCTTTGGAAAATAATTTAAAAACCGGCGGCACCATATTCATGAAAACTGCTCTAAGAAAAACAAGTGATTAAAGTGTTATTGCTAGGAAACCAAACAAAATGACGAAAAAGTCAATAACTTTAGATGTCGATCCATCTATATTGGAGAAAAATATGAGAATTATAAAGGTAAGCAAAACAAATGACCATACAAAAATACAAAATAACGAGGAAATAAAACATACATTTTTTTAAGGAAAATCCGGTTGAAGAAGAATTAAATAAATTGCTTTCTGCAGTTGATACGGTCCCGTCAAAACTCGTAAAACCCAAACCAGGTAATCTTCACATTTAAATAATGCCATAATTATGGTAAATGATGTATGTAATGTTTTGCACAAATATTGCTGAATTGTACGAAACCTTGTTAGATTCGGGAATATAAGTTAATATTCATTCTTTTCGATATCTTCCTGTAGTGACTTGATTTCCTTCTACAAAAGCAATCACAAGATATCTTGCATAGTCTCATTTTCCAAAATTGATGATCATGCAAAGCTTGAATAAACTAAACATAGCTTGTCATATGTAAACTAGTTTTGCTTTTATAAAAATATAAAAATTCTATATCTTTTTACATGATTATCAATATTTTACATGGATCCTGCTGATGTTTGAATAATGCTTAGTATTAATTGTTTGTTTAAAATATATTTTCAGGTTTCTGTGTAAAAACATTCACAAAGCCTGACAATAAAAAGATTTTTGTGAACATCTGTTTAACAGATGCTATACCATGTCCAAAAGATATTACAAATGATGAATTAATGGTCATTCTTAGCTCTGAAGATCCATCCTCTTATAGAGTGCCTATGAGCATAGGTGAAGGACGTACAGAGCTAGATAAATCTGGAGCACCTGCAACTGTTTATGATGTTGCCATAAACCCCCAGTTCTTTAGTAAAATTGAGAAAGATGACTTGTTCCAAACATTCTTTCTAACAGTTGTGTTTGAAGGACTGCAAGATAAATACCAATTTGAAATTGATTCTCAAAAATTCTCAGTTTTAAAAAATAGAAAATCCATTGGCACTCTTCAGTCACACCGAATTCAAATTAGAGATATAAAGGCTTGTGGAGAAGAAAATAAACCGTTAATAGAAGAGATTGCCTCTAAACCACCGCCAAAAATAGTTGAAATACCCACACAGCCTAAGAAGGAAATCATTTACAGACTGAGACGTGAGCCTCCAACTGGAGAAATAGAATATTTACTGGCAGAATTTATAATCCCAGCATTGGTGAGTATTGCAATTTGTTACATAATTCAAATAACAAAATTAAAAACACATTTGCTACTTGATGACCTCTCCGGTCTTTATATGAGAAGATAAGTCAAAAGTGATATTAAAATGTTTAACATCACAATCTAACATGGTTTAATTTAGTCTAGCATAGAGTTGAGGTGGGTAAATATAATGTTAAGATGGTTCACAATCCACATTTCAAAATAGTCATATTTTTTATGTAGTCTGTGACAGTTGCCAACATTGGTAAATTCTTCCTTAGCTTTTTCCTCTTAACAAATATCAATGAGAAATGTATATAGGCAGACAACAACAGTATAACAGATAATTATATACATAACCAAACACAAGTTTTAATATCTGACTTTCTAATTGTTAACTATTCTCCAGATCTATGGAAAAGCCAGTTACAATTTCCTAAACCTACTAAATCCAGCCTTGTTTTAGGAGAATAAATGTAGTTTTGAGAAAACTTAAATTAAATTTGTTGATCACATTGTCACAACTATTGGCGCATGACTGTAAAATCGTCTGGTTTTTTTTTGTCACAAAAAATGGTGTGGCGCTCTGATACTATCATGACCTCTCCGGTCTTTATATGAGTAGTGTATCTAGGCTGCCGTTTAAGACTTTCTTGTATGTGTGTGCCCGCATATACGACAAGTTTTCATAGCTTCTCTGTATAAGCTGCATACTATTTTTATTGTACTTTAGTATACTTAACATGTTTATTGCTTGTAACAACATATTGTATTTTCTTCCTTGCAATCATTTATTATTGTCTATCAAATAATAAAAATTCGAATCACTTTTATTATTTTTTATAATACTATTAATAAAAATTTGAGTGACAATGACAATCAAGTGAACAAAAAGATAATTATTTAAAATTCATACATCTCCATTAAAATTTCAACTTATTTGCTATTTTTAAATATATTTATATTATATAACTATGTGCTATAATAATAATTACTATAGTCAGAATAATAATAAAAATATATTTATTTCATTAATGAAATTCTAACCTTCTTTAATTATTTTACTCCATATTTTCTTGAATTGTTATATTAATTTAAATGTTTCTCATCTGCCATGAGTCCAGCCTGTTTCTTTGGACTTATTTATACTCTGGAGCTTGAGAAAATTTGTTTATATACATTGAAAAGTTTAACCCATTCACCACTTTTTTAGCATTTATTTACAACCATTTTATCCCATTGTTCAACTTCATGTATTATCCAACTAGTGTTATAATAAACTTTATTCACAGGTAGAATTGAAAGATTTACACTTAGAAATTGGGGAAGACCGACTTGTTCTTGACTCTAAGGGCCAGTTTGAGTTGGTTGATTTCTTCCTGCCCTGCAGTGTCGATCAAGATGTCATTGATGCTCAACTTAATAGAAATGATAATGTAAGTGTTTTCCTAAATTACTATGAGCCAATTTAATACAAATTGGCAAAAAATTTTACATATTGGCAAATAAGCATAATAAATATAAAAATTTATCACATTTTCAAACCCAAATGGGGTAGAAAGTAAGTAAGAAACTCACACTTCATGTTTACCAACATGGAACTGTGTTTTTTACATGAGTAATCTGAAAATCGGTAACTCCTAGGTTCACTGGAAAATAAACCCTCTGCCCTGAGTTCGGAAGTGCAACTACTGTTTTGAATAACAACTTTATATATATTTTTTCTCCTGCCCTTATAACACCTAGGTGGAGTCGGCACAACAAGTATTAATGATGTTGTTAATGTTTTTTTACGAACAGTTGCCTGTTTGACATTTTTGGGAACAACACCCAGATCTGCATCAGTTAACTGTAGGTCATATACTTGTTCCGTGTGAGAATCAAATCCATGAGTCAAAAATCAGTATCCAAGTGTTTGGAAGTAAGCATTAAACTCTGTTTCATTTATCCTGCATCTGGGTGAGCAGTGTAAAACTGATACTGTTATCAGACTCAATCGGTTATTGCTTGTATAATTATAGTCCTTACAGTAATTGTTAAGATGGTGTTGTTATATTGCAAAGGTTCATGTTGTTATTAAGCTGCCTGTAATAGTGTAATGTTAAAAGTTAAATTTAAAATTTAAATATATAAAAAATTTAAAAATATCGGATTCAATTTAAGAATTTTTTTTTTTTTAGATACTGTCGGTGAAAATGCCAGCAATACATTGAGTTAGAACGATGTATTTGAGAGACAAAAAGAAACAATGAACAACTAAAATTAATTTTCTATAATTGAAGAGTGTAGGGAATGTTACAATTAAATTGCAAGATTCTGTTGTATTTCGTCACTTTTTCTATATTTAGGGTGAAGTTCATAAGAGTATACTGTGGATGTCATGAAAATTAAACGTAAATAAAACAACGAATTTTTTATTTCATGTTAAAAATGGCATTTACTTTGTGGTTTACATCAGAGATTCTTAGTAAAACAGATGTTCTTAGTGTAAAAAGATGATCAATAAATATTATTAATAAATACCTTATATAAAAATGTGATCTAAAGAATGATGTCTAGTAATTTCATTTATCAGTAATACAGGTTGTTGCATTGTAGACCTATTGTGTCAAATGCTGAGATAGGTCTACAATATTGGTTCGTCAAACCTATTCCTAAACAAATAGATAATTTGTGATTTCAATGTACATTGTATTTATAAATATTTATGGATTTGGGGTAAATACTTCGAAATAATTCACAGTAGATTCGTTACAACAAATAGAACATAAGCAATGAATTTAAATAGTACACTAAAATTGGAGTATAAAAAAACGTATAAATCTATTTCTTTCGATAAATTATAAAACACTGAAGAGTACACATCTCGAGATTAGAATCTGCTGATTAGGCATCTGAAATATCGTTAAAATATCGTATTGAGTTGTCCCCATTGTATATAATCTAATATTACAACCATACATTCCTTGCACTGCCACATTAAGAAAAACTATGTTTACAACAATAAAACATACTTTCGAGGGCATAAGCATAACAATTCATATAGGTTCAAGTTTTCGTTGCATCCGCATGCATTGTTTAGAAACGCATACATGGTTAAAATTATTTTTATTAATAAAATTAAGCTATACAGGATTTACAGTATATCACAAATTAAATGCATCAACTTATAGCATGCCGAACTATTCCAACTGGAAGTTATTGAAATTGTTTTTCTTAAACAATAGGTAAGCAATTGGTAAACTAAATGGCAACTTAACATTACAATAGCTTATTAAATACATTGCAAGAAATGATGCATGCTATCCTATGGTAAATAGTCAATATGACCAATCATGATTTGGGATGAATACTACTAGATTTGAGTTTGAGATAGCATCACTTGCACATAGATACATAAGTACAACAATATAACGAAACATTAAAGATATATACATAAGTACAGGAAATTGTTTCGAAAATATTGGCCTATTCCTAGAATAAATTAGTATAAAAAAGCTTAATATGTAATTAATACCAATACTGAAAAATATCAATGGAAGATTAATACGTTGGAATATTAATAAAATTATTTTGAAAACGCATCAAACATTTATTGCATTAGTTTACTTTCAATTAGTTAATTGAGATAATTATTAAATAAAATGTATGAGAGATTATAAAGAGGTAAGATTCGATTTACATACATAAAAATCTATAAATGCGAGATTATAAAGTATTCGGTTTAAATACACAAACAGACCGCGCGACTCAACTGACATTCATTTAAATTATAATTATTCGTTTAATTATAATTAACAAACAAACCCGACTACAGCTCGTCGTGTTTGAAATGTACACCGCGCACGCCTATTTTGTCCAGGCCGGCCAGTAGGTCTTGGTCGTAGTTGGCCAAATGGGGTCGGATGTCGTCTATGATGCTGGAGTGGTCTCTTATCTTCAGCTTGACGACGCTGCTGTGACTTTGGTAGTGGTTCCTCGGGAGGTACAGCCGCAGAGTGGGGTAGCTGGTTATGTGCTCGTTCTGGCACACGCTGCGCTCGGTGATGCAGTTCACTCTGCCGAAGTTCACGACGTTGCCCAGGAACTGGAACGGCATGGCACGTATGAATGTACAGAACGTGGCGACTCAACCCTAACGGGTAAGGAGTTTGACAACTCTGTGGCCCAGGTGGCAAGTTATATCTTGTGTTGTATTAAATCAAACCTTTGTATAGCTTCAAAGCTGCCGATTTATTTAGAACTTTGCACTCTTACCAAAGCCCTATGACAATGCAGTGGTTAAAATTAAAATAATATATTACTTTAAAAAACAAAGAGACACACTTTATACTGATCTGATTCTTTAAAATGATCCAGGAAATTACAGACCTATCTCCATATTGCCATCTCTGAGTAAAATTTTTGAAAAACTAATTTTAAATCAACTCTTAGTACATTTTAATATGAACAAAATTTTCCACAAGGAGCAATATGGATTCACTAAAGGCAGATCGACAACGGATGCGGGTGTCGCACTTGTCAAGCATATTTATAACGCCTGGGAAAGGTCACAAGATGCAATAGGTGTCTTATGCGACCTTTCAAAGGCTTTCGACTGTGTAGACCACGAAACCCTCCTTCAAAAGTTAGATTATTATGGCATTCGTGACATCGCCCTCAATCTCATTGCCTCTTACCTTAGTAATAGAATTCAAAAAGTATCTATAAATGATGTAAATTCCACAGGGTCCCCCATGAAAATGGGTGTCCCACAAGGATCAATCTTGAGTCCATTATTATTCTTAGTGTATATAAATGATCTCCCCTTTTATGCCAGTGAGTTATGTGATGTTGTACTCTTTGCTGACGACACATCGCTCATTTTTAAGGTTGACCGAAACGTGTCGGATTATGACGACGTGAATAGTGCACTTTCGCGTATCCTCCACTGGTTTACCGTTAATAATATGGTGTTAAATGCTAAAAAAAACTAAATGCCTTCTTTTTACCCTTCCCAGCGTAAGAAGGCGAAGTTTTAGCTTAACATTAAATAGCGTAACCCTTAATCCTGTTGAGTCCGCTGTATTCTTGGGAATTACAGTGGATTCAAAGCTCCAATGGAGTCCCCATCTATCATCTCTTGCGAATAGGTTTAGCTCCGCTGTTTTTGCAATTAGGAAGGTTAGGCAGCTATCAGACATCGACACTGCCAGACTTGTTTATTTCAGTTATTTCCACAGCATCTTGTCTTACGGCATTTTGTTGTGGGGTAGTGCATCTGATATAAATTCTATATTTATTCTTCAAAAAAGAGCTGTCCGAGCAATCTATAACATCGGAGCCCGGAATACACTCAGAGACCTTTTTAAAGAGATTAATATACTCACTGTTGCGTCTCAATATTTCTCAATTTATTGTAATATTTTGTATGTTAAAAATAATATTAATAGTTATCTAAAGAATAGTGACAGACATAAACTAAATACTAGAAATAAGGACAAACTAACTACGCCATTGTTTCGTCTACAAAAAGTAAACAGGTCGTTCATGGGGCAAGGTGTGCGCATGTATAATAAAATCCCACAGTCGATATTAAGTCTGCCACTTGATGAATTTAAACGAAAAATTAAAAGTAAACTTATGGCTAAAGCCTATTATTCTATTGCCGAATATCTTGACGATGCCAATGTGTGGGGTTAATACTGTTGATACTCACGTAGGCTAAAACAAGACTATTGTACCTGTACTTGTATATTGTCAACTGATTTTTTAAAAAAGAGCCACTGTTGAGTTTCTTGCCGGTTTCTTCTCAACAGAAACTGCTTTCCGAACCGGTGGTAACTTACGAACGTGTTAATTTCTTGTAAAATTTTGACGTTTCATAAGAACGCGGAAGCGTCTATGTGAATAAAGATATTTTATTATATTATATTTATTATTATACTTTACTATACTTTAGAAAAAAAAGTACTACGACCTCACAGAAGACCGGCGTGAAGTGAAAGTATTATACTTCTGCGTTTCATCTGGTCAGTGAGGTAGCTGGGGCCCACTTTATTATAAGGTGGCAACGCACTACGGGTGTTACAAACTTCCATAGGCGGAGGTTATCAGTTAACATTGGGTGACCCGCCGGCTCGCATGCCACCTTCTCACATAAAAAAAAGAGTTTTTAAAAGGGCGTTACTTACAATTGAGGCGATAGCAAAGTCCGGGAACTTCTCGAAACAATGGTAACACCTCGGCGAGTGGAAATACACCAACCAAGGCTTCTTGTTCCTAGGAATTAGGCAATCATTTGAAATTACATAATGTACAAAATACTTTTAGGATTGCTATAGAATTTTTACAGGAATAACATGGAAAAGTAACTATACAATTTAAGTTGGAACAAAAACAGATATTTTTATTTAAAAATGCCGTTATGATTATTATTACTCTGGCTCATATTTTGTTAGAATTATCGCTATACATTTTATGTAACAATGCTGGATTCTGAACTATGGTTTTAGAAAATTATCTAGCTTTTCTATACATTGTTTGTGCACGCTCCGTACCGATGTTTTTTAATAAGACTTGTAACATGTGGTTAAATATACCTCTAAAAGTTCATAAACCAGCAAATATTAAAGAAGGTCAAAATACATATCAACCTTTTATTTTTCTTTTGAATAATTGTTCAAAATACAGCACTGATAAAAATCAGTTTGAATAAGCAATAAGCATGTATATTTTTAATGGTAAATCAATTAAGCACTCATCATCATCATCATTTCAGTTCCTGTTTGAGTCCACTGCTGAACATAGGCCTCCCCCTCCCCTCCTCCTCCTCGCGAACTATGGAGCGGGCTATGCTCGGTATTTCTCTGCGTGATAGAGTTCGTAACGAAGACATCCGTAGTAGAACCAAGGTAACTGACATAGCTCAGAGGATTAGCAAGCTGAAGTGGCGATGGGCCGGCCATATAGCTCGTAGAACTTATAACCATTGGGGAAGAAAGGTTCTCGAGTGGCAGCCTCGTACTGGCCATCGCAGTGTGGGACGACCCCCCACTAGATAGAGTGACGACCTGTGCAAATGTGCGGGAAGTCGATGGATGCAGGTGGGTCAGGATCGTACTTCTTGACACTCTATGGGGGAGGCCTATTGAGCGCTCATTAGTCCGCATATAAAATTTATTTGCGTAATTCCTTGAGGATTCAACATACCCGCTTGGTCTTAGCTCTTCGGCTACCACGTTTTTAGTGAATGTTTGCCAGCTGAGGTTCTGTATGGAGTCGTCTATCCTCTCCAAAGCCCACTCCAGTATGTATGGCGCCTCGGATGTGTGTTGCAGGTTGAGACTGGAAATTCATACATTTATATTCAAACGTTTACATATTATATAATACAAATTATAAGGCTATAAAATAGGAAAGAATCTATTAAAAGAGTATAATACATCCAGGAATTATTCCTTGAAGTATTTAACGAGTAATTCCTGGATATATAGAAATATATAAATATCGTACATTTAACAGCTCAAAAGAATTGATCAAATTTAACATTGGCATCAGGGTTTGAGCTTATTTCGTAATTTTTTTCCGATCATTACATTATAGTTACGTCGCTATTGGATGTTAGCCAACTGGTACCTCTAAACAACGCGAGATGGCGTCGGCGACAATATCGCAATACGAAAAACCTTACCGGAAAAAACCACGATTTTATAGCAAATAAAATGCCTGCCCCACTAAAGTAGCCTATTTACGATAGTTCCATTACTCCTCACGTCACTCCACTCCACACAATAACCGCCGAAGGCATTTAAATGAAATTTGTTAAACAATTGGCTTCGGGGCAAAGGCTTTCATTCAAACTCGAAACAAGTATTTGTGAGAACTACCGGCAATTTCGCCGAGTAAAATTTATGTATGTAAAACGTCCTTACAACAAAGGGAACGTTATCCAATACTTAGAGCAATTTTATAATATAAAAAAACTCCTACGGTCACCGCTTATGATAATTACGTAACTAACTTTTTGCCTAGTCCGGTAGGGCCATGCAAGAGTGCACAGTTTTACACTAATGTGCAGGTCCATCCGTGGAAGTAGGCTTCCTTCACAGAAGACCGGCATGAAGGGAGAGTGGAGCCCACATTATTCTTCATATGGCAACGAATCTGTATACCTACAGGTTGTGAATGTCCACAATTATCACTTAACGTAGGGTGAGCAGCCATCTCTCTTGCAATCTCCTTACATGAAAAAGTGAAATAACCCCTACGTGAAGTGTTGTCCGGATGAAACCGGGTAGAGTCTGGCCGTGGGCGCGCGAACATTCGCGCAGAAGCCTTGGCCGCTAACAGCACACCGCAAGACGCCCACGCGTACAAACTCCAGAGGGCTTAGCTGAAACGTAACGGTTGAACGTTAATAACGTGAAATTATAAACGGTGAGTAATACTGACACAAAAAATAACTCAAATTACGGGCTAGGGCCATCGCGAAAAATACTAGCGAGCCGCCCCGGCTTCGCATGAGTGTAATGTATTATACATATACCTTCCTCTTGAATCACTCTATCTAGTAAAAAAAACCGCATCAAGATCAGTTGCGGAGTTTTAATGATCTAACCATACATATGGACAGACAGACAGCGGGACGGCTTTGTTTTATACTATGTATTGATTCACTAAATTACAAATTATCTGGCAGATGGATTAGCGACAAGAATTCTAAATGCCTCGTGGAATAATTATACTAAATCCATTACCGGAAATCAACGCCTTATTGCCGTGACACTGTCTTATCACCATAACTCTTTCAAATGTCCTAATACTACGCCCACAAACTTATTTTCTACAGAAAATTTCATTTCATATTTGCGCCATTTGCTTACTTAAGCCGTCTCTGATGACACCTTTGCGCTGGCCATAATACTCCTTACCTATTTGAGCCCTAAAAAGTTCTGTGAGACGAGGTCGGCAAGACAAACACAAAAACAAATAATACAAAAAGGCAAAGACACAAGTGCTTGTAATTTCAAATACATTTAACCTTAGTTCTTTTTGTTTCATTTCTTCAGACTGATAGTTATTCAGTGAAAAGGTGAAGGACATATGCCGTGGCGTGGTCCAAAATCTCTTCTCCTTCTTCTTTAATTAATGGCCTCTCTTAAAAGAATTCTACCAATGTAATATCAGTCAATCCCAAATCTCAAATGGGTAGAATTATATAAAATACTAGCTGACCCGCGCAACTTCGTCTGCGCCAATTCTACCGGGTCCATACGTTTCTACTAGCGCCATCTATCGGATACTCAATCCAGCCGATAAACTTATCTTACACCGCCATCTGTTAGAATCTTATGGGACTCACAGATAGCTCTTTGTCATCTACTAAACAAATATTGAGATCAATAATTGAGATAAAAACTACCCTATCGACCAAGTTGGACCAAATTACAAATACTTACAAAATTTGAGGAAAATTGGTTCATTAGTTACGGAGTTTATCGCTAACATACATTGTGACACGAAATTTTTATATATGTAGATGTTACCTTCTTGGCAATTATGCGCCACTCGTGCTCGAGGTCATCGCAAAACTTGCCACACCCGGCTGGCAAGTGTGCCACGAGCCAGCTGTGCTCACGGCTCGACACGTCCAGGATCTCCAATATTTGCTGCTCACTTAACGATACACCTACGCAAATTTAACGAAACATCAAACAAATCACGTTCAAACGGTGACCATCCGGCTAAAAGGACCAATGTCAAAATTAATTACGGTTCCTTTGTTTGGGACAGTAAAAAACACATCAAACATCGAAACACAAGTCTCATGTTAACTAAGATTAACGGCAAGAGAAGTGGTAAGATTAGTGATACCACTATAGCTTTTCTAAGTGTATCCATTTTTTTATTAAATTCTAGACATAAATAATGTTATATAAAAAATGATAAATGTTTAAAATCATTCATAATTAATTAATTACATTTATTTGAACTTATCTCATAAAGTGCGTGATTTATGGGCAACTCATTTAAGTTTACACGCGATCATCCATAACTAACACGCACACAAGTTCGTTTCAAAAGTATACAACGCATTTATGAATGACTACCGCATTGTCAACAAGTTCTGTTTTTTAGGGAATAGAATTGCAATTTCATTGTTTTTATTTCAAAAACGATTATACTACCTAGTCTGAACCTCCTGTGTGAATTTGGGTACCTTTAGAAAAGGCAATCTGTATAATACGCATTATTTACATAAAGAACTGTCAAATATATGTAACAAGGTAACTATAAATACGATACTATACATTAAATAATTATCAATGTTATAAAGGAGAACATAAATAATTCTGTTTTTTAGTATAGCCGCAACAGAAATACATCATATGTGAAAATTTCAACTGTCTAACTATCATGGTTGATGAGATACACCCTGGTGACAGACGGACGTACAGACAGACAGCAAAGTCTTAGTAATAGGGTTCCCATTTTGCCCTTTGGGTACGGAACCCTAAAAAGAAGTAAACAACTTTATTTAAATCCCAACTCACTGCCACTGTGTTTGAGCAGGTCAATGAACTCCACTATCTGCGCCTCGTCGATTCTCCCGTTGTATTGATATTTCTTCACGCCATCTTGCAAGAATAACGTCGGCTGGTTGTAGGCCAGCTCGCGGCAGTACTGCTCTGATTTAAGGGTGCACGCCATTATACCGAACTGTTGAGGCAAAACCACATTTGAAATTTAGCAAACCACTATTCTGACATCGACCGTCAAACATAAATAAGAATGTCGTTAAAGTAGAACATCTTTGCAATTTAAAAAGTTGGAAAAAACATTCGATATTAGTAGCTATTAGTAAATTAAAAAAAAAAGTGTAATAACCTTATTAGTTATACTTTTTTTTTTTAATTGTGTTTTGTGTGTGAGTGAAACGTAAGACCTAAAAGTGAATCTTTAAAAACGGTCAAAACTTTCAGCGATGGGATTCGAACCCGAGTCTTGTGGATTAACTAGCACTAAAAAATAAAGTTAATAATAGATTATTGCTTAAGTTAAAGTTAAGATGTTTGTATAAAAAAAAGATTTTGGGTAAAAAAAGTTATTCTTTCACTTTAGACACTCAAATCAATCAGATTGATTTGAATATTTTTATTTCTTTTCTATATAAAAACTGTGTCTAATTCACTACAGCAGAGGCCAAAATACATTTAAGAGCTCACTGTTGAAAAATAGGTTACCCCAAATAATTAGGTTTGGTTGAGCATGAATGTAGGGTCTCTCAGCTGTTCCCGCCAATTGAATATGGGATAATAACGGACGATTTTTCGCTGTAGCAATTTATTTTTTACGCTCTGAATCCATAAACTATGAACATATCCGAATGTGATCCCAAAATGGGCTCCGAAGAACCCTTGTACATATAGAGCCATGGCAATTACGGTGGTACAGATAAAATTGTTTTAAACGTAAGACTCAAAAGTAAATCTTTAAAAACGACCAAAATTTTCACCTATGGGATTCGAACATATTATATTCTCTCCACTGCCTGAGCTAACAGACTGAGCATTATACCCCCTCAATATATGTTTAAGCAATGAATCTTTTCAATCTTTTACTGGGTAGAAAGTTAGGCGTATAATAAATTAACCACTTACACTGATATCCACCGAATCGGCAAACTGCATACTTGCTTCCGTAAAAGGCTCTGCAATGTTTTCCCAAGAGAACTTATAGGGCACGACTAGTACCACCCAGGTACCCATTTCTGTAAATATACAAGAGATAAAAATCTATAAAAAAGAAAATTAGGAAAACTATAAAAAGTCCGTATATAATAAACAATATACGACATATATATATGTATTCAAAATACAGACTGTATACAATATACCATAATTATTTTTATTATTTCCCCGTTTCATTTAAAACGTTTATATAAAAATTACCACAAGGGTGGTCCTTGAATAAACCATAAATATATGAATATTTATGTTCGACAGTGGACTCAAACAGGTCGAAATGATAATGATGATTTGATTTGATGACTCCGTGGCGCAGTCGCCAAGGTATTGACTTCACCGTCGGGGGTCGTGGGTTCGAATCCCACATGGCTGTTTGTCCACGTGGAATTTATGCATGTAAAACGTCCTTGCAACACAGATTTAACGGTGGTAGGGCCACGTCGCAGCCGCGGCTGTTGCACTAATGGGTAGGCATGTCCGGGTAAATACCACGACCTCACAGAAGACCGGCGTAAAGTGGAAGTTTAATACTTTCGCTTTTCGTCTGGTTAGTGAGGTAGCCGGAGCGCAATTTTCAAAAGGTTGTCAACGCATCTGCAAACCCTCGGGTGTAGCAGATGTCCATGGGCGGTGGTATTCACTTAACATCAGGTGAACCTGCTCGCTTGGCAAATCACATAAAAGAAATGATAATGTTATCATCAAATAGAAAGGAAGAAACAAAGATGATGAAATCGTCATCGTTAATTATCCTCCACTGACCGCCGTCCAGTACGCGGCGCAATTCAGAGGCGGAGAGCGTGTGGAGGTTAACCGCTCCCGCCGATCGGGCTATGAAAGCGGCGGGCGGAGTGGTAGGGGCCGACCGCTGGTAGCCACCGCCCGCTTTCACCAGCGCCCAACATGGCGTCTCCTCAATCTGGAGCGAGTCGCAGAGAGCCCGCTGTGTTTTGCAGTCGATCTCGCCTGTTGACAAGTCAAGTGAGTGGCGGATTAACCACGTAGCGAGAGTAGCTATTGCTACGGGCTCACAGGGGGCCCCGCATAAATTATATTTAAACGCACTTTCCTCTGCAGAAGCCTTGATTACAAGCTTCGGCCGCGAATGCCGAAGACGTGGGTTCGATTCCCACAGCGGCAACAATCTTTACTTCGTACTTTTTCTACATGTTTTAATTTTCAATCTTAAGTGCAGATATTAGCACTATACTTTAAAACAAACAAAAAACTTTAAAATTTACAAGTTTTTTTTTAATAAAACATATTAAATAAGCATGTGTATTGAACAAACTTGCCCAGTTGTGATGTATCTCAGTCGAGACATACATCACATATATGAGAAACTAAACGTATCGAATTGACACGTTCGCAATTCACGGACGGAATCATAATCTATACGCTACAATTAAAAGGAATGTAAAAATTTGCCGATTTACCGAAATTCATGTTAGGGAATTGTAGCCTCATTTGATGCAAGAGCAATCTGTTGTCGTCTTCGCTGGGGAAGTAAAGCACCCAAGGAGTTTCTTGATCGTTTCGAAGTCCGTTTCTTATTTTCTGAAATGAAAAAAGCAATTCCAATGAATAAATTATAAACACCAATACAAGCTCTTCAAGTGATCTAACCATGAAAACCAGCAAGATGGCAAACGCAAGTAAAGTAATTAAGACAAAAGAAGAGGGCATTTATTTAAAAATTTTGAATAATTGTTGTTGTATTAAATACTTCAATTAATGAATTGAAATATTTTTTTATTAAAAGTATACGTACGCAAGGCAAAAGTAAAGAGTAAACGTGGAATGAAAATCTTACAATATTTCTTTATATTCAACACTTCCGGATCTATCTAATAAATAAATATAAATTAAACATCTAATAATAATAAAAAAGGATAGTCATACAAGACAAAAAACCAAAGAGTTAATAGCAAGCATAATAAATCTGATAAAACATTTCATTACCTTCAACGCTTCCGGATCTATCTGTTTGACTTTAGGGAAAGTATCAACTATTTCCTCTAAAATAGTCTCCTCCGCACTGCTTGAAATTTCTTTGTGTATTTTCTTGTATTTGAAGACCACCACCACTTCGAGGTCCTTTGACAGTTTCTCTCGGAGACTCTCGTCTTCCACTATCACAACTGTTGCCAGGCCATTCTGTTGCCACAGATAAAATGACTCATATTTAGTCCCAAAAGCGAAAAATAATAAATGTTAAGGTGGCAAACAAGCTGACGGTCTACCTGATGTGACATGGACATTTGACCATGACCAGACATTTGATTCATGGGGTTGCAGATGCGTTGCCACTTTTTAATAAAGTGGGTCACTGCTACCTCACTCACCAGACGAAACGCGTAAGTATGACACATCCACTTCACGCCAATCTTTTGTGAGGTTGTGGTTACCCGGAAGGACCTGCCCATTCGTGCAACACCCGAAGTTGTTGCGTGGCCCTACCACATTCAAACTGCTACATAATATATTGAAAGTTGTCAATGGATTTTCGTCTCTATTTCTGAATTCAGGATGTTTTGAATGCCCCGCTGATAAGAATTATTTTATATAGTATATATATTTCAGTACAAAAATTAAAAATGATTTTTATATTTTTTATAACATCTGTAATACGCTCAACTGTATGATAAGAAAAAAAATCTTCTACTAAAAAATTATGGGTAGAAGCAGAGTAAATTTATAAAATCATGACTGACATAACTTACCAGGTGGAAAGCAATTCTGGTCAGTGCATAATCCTCAATGTAATTTGAACCAAGCACATATGCAATTGGTCTGTCACTACTTCGCAGCTGTCTCACAATGGGCACATGAAAGCGTTTTTGCAGAAATGATATAACAAACTCCTCAAGGGCTTGAAATGTATGCTCTCCTCTATAGTACACAAAGTTGCCTTCTTTACCCTTTGTGTAGAAAACAGGTTTTTTATCAGTTATTTATTGACAGTTACAGAAATAATATGGAAATTACACATTATACTATGAAACTATGCCAGAAAATAATGCAAACATTTAGAAAAAAGTAAAAAGTCATTAAAATAATGCAACATAAGCATAGTATACTTTTGCGTTTTAAAAGACATGTTATGTCCAGAATAAGTGTGTTGGTACTTTTATTGAACATCACAATGCGATTAAGAAGGTCCGATGAAATATCACTTACATTAGGATAAAACAGTAAAGTTGGATAGCTGCTAATCCTCATGTTATGATAGCAAAAAGCGCTGTGATACTTGCAATTTACAGCACCAACTTTCACCTGAAATTAAAGAAAATACATAATGTTTATGACATCATAAATGACATAACATTAGAAAATGTAATTTATGTGTCCTATCTATAATTACATTAAATAAACTCATATGAAAGACCCACATTGAATATGTAGTCAGAAAGGGTAGATCCGCACTTGATACATGTTGCAGGCTAGTTTGATCATGGGGTCTGAACCCCAAGTGTGAGCTATGGATATAAACAGCCATAATAAGACCTATGGTAACATACGGTTTTGTGGCATAGTGCAAGAAGACCCTCAACAACCCTTGCAAAGACTAGGCTGCCTGGTTACCACAGGCGCCATCTCATCCTCACCAACTCTGGCCATGGATACGGTGCTAAACATTGCACCAATCCACATTCTCATAATGAAATAGGCTAAAATAGCTATGCTTCGTTTGCTAGAGGCAGATAGGGGAGGATGGCATTCTAATGTCATTAGAAGATTAACAAATGATCTAATCAAAAACCCCATTGTGGCGATAGGTACTTTGTGAAGCTATACAATATTTTCATATCTTATAGGGAAAGTCCTAACTGTGGAAGGGCCACATAACAGTTTGCTTTTGCACGAATGGGCAGGTCCGTCCGAAGAAGTACCACGACCTCACAGAAGACCAGCTTGAAGTGGAAGTGTTATGCTTCTGCATTTCGTCTGGTGAGCGAGGTATCCGGAGCTGACTTTATTAAAATGTAGTTACGCATCTGCAACCTTAGGGGTGTTGCAAATGTCTATGGGCGGTGGCTATCACTTAACAATCAAGTGAACCGCCAGCTCAATCGAAAGCTGTGTTTGTTTGGTTTACTGACGGCCCTGAAAGGGATGGTCTTGTAGGCTTGGGTGTTTATTGCTTTAGACCTACAGTGTTTCAGGCCGTTTATGCAATCATTGCCTGTATGTATTTGAACCTGGAGCTAGGATAGCCAAGCTGCCTTAAAGGTGTTGGAGTCCAACACTCCATCCTCCAAGCTTAGTTGGAGAATATTATCACCCTGAATAACTATGACATGTGCCATGCACTGAGGGATTGGGGAAACGAAACAGCTAATGAGATCTATCGGACCTATCCTAGGGATGCCTAAATCTGGATCCAGTCGCCAAGTCATGGCATGGGAGAGACATCATGGCAACCTGTTTTGGCGTGGATTGGCTGAGATAAGTCATTCAATACATTTCTCTCAAAAGGTTTCAGAGCCATCATGTACTGATTGTGATATTTTCTTGTGTGTCTTGTGAACTTGTATTTGTCAAGAATAGAAATACAAAAACACACTTACGATTCCTTTATATTTCTCAGCTAACTTCGTCCAGTGGTCAACTAAGTTTTGACAAGGTGGACAAAATGGCGAGTAGAAATTTATGAAATGATAGCCCTCTGTCAGATGTGCAACTGGAAAAACAGACAATGCACAGTTTAAAATAAATTGTGTATAAGACGTAACTTATTAAATGAAGGAAAAAACCTGACTTTATTAAAAATACTACTCATCTATTTTTAGGGAAATATAATGAACTAATGTCCTTTAAATTGCCTATAGTGCTAATCTTTGCACTTAAGATTGAACATTAAAATATGTAGAAAAAGTACGAAAAGATTATCGCCGCTGTGGGAATCGAACCCACGTTTTCGGCATTCGCGGCCTGACGCTATAACCACTAAGCTAATTGGCTGATTGCCACATCGACGAAAATCTTAACGTCTTTTATCTACATTGTTTTTTTTAGCATTTGAAGCAATGCTTGACGCATCCATTGTTATATCCTTTCCAGCATACAAACAATTTCGAATATCGTTTTACAACGATTGTTCGAACGAGAGATGTCGCCATTGCTTTTTAGAAAATTAAATTGTTTATAGTGCTAATCTTTGCACTTAGATAGATTGATTGAACATTAAAATATGTAGAAATTGTTGTTAAAGCGTCAGGCCGCGAATGCTGAAGACGTGGGTTCGATTCCCACAGCGACGACAATCTTTTCGTATTATACTGTCACTCCTACAGTAGGGACAAATCTCATTATACTTCATCATGCTCGAACTACATTACGTTTCTTAGGCAGTCCAGTTTATAATAGTATAGTAAAAGCCACAAAATAAAGCCACATAAGAAACATGATTTGAGTTAATTTTACATGTGTTTCAGTGAGTACTGATTTAGATAGTCAGGTAATAAATTACATTTTCACTACAATATAAATTACGACACTGCTTGAAAAATGTATTGTTTCAATAAAAAAAACTTACAGAAGGTGCCACTTTTCAGTGTTATCACAAAAGGGTCATTGTGATATAATCCATTATAGAACAGATTGTTAAACTCAGATTGAGTACTATAATCATACTTTCTTGTGTATCCCGAGTGAGACCCATAAATATCATATTTGCGCCTTTTCTCAGGGTCCTTTAATGTTTCGTAAGCCTCGGTCATTTTTATGAATTTTTCTTGCTCTTCTTCATTCTGCAAAAGGCAGTATCAACTTAAAGATATTTCATAAAATATTAATTTGTTTTATATTTTAAACATCGTAAATCAAAACTTACTATAAACGCATATAGTAATTTAATTTAATATGTGTTGATAGTAGTAATATGTAGTATATGTGTTGATAGTAGAACTCAAAAAAAAAAAACTCATATCATCATGAAGTTTTTGTCTTGTGTGTGTTAATGCGATAGGAGGCATAGCAAGTCAATGTTTCCTTAATATAATTTTATTGAGTTAAATAAAACAAACTTTACAACTTACAGCCTTATCAAAGGCCACCTTGTGTATCAATTAAGTAACATGTTATGTTACCTTCAATCACTTAGAGCTGTTGGCGAGTTTTTTTAGTGCATACCCTGTCAGAAATCTCTGTGCACACTGAATGGTAGGTTAAGAATTAATATTTATATACCAGGAGGAAGAAATTTTAAAAATGTAAGCATGATACAAGTTTTATGTTTTTTATCCAAGTCAACCCATTAAATCTTCAATAAATTTTTCTCCTAGTTGTAAATATCCATAGAAAAAATCCATATAAAAAATCTATTGGTTTTTTTATGCAACAGAAGTGTGCAAATTCTATTATATTTCATAATGATAAATTAATTTTCGGTGAATACATTTTTTATAATGAGATAGAGGTAATTTAAATTAAAAGGCATTAACTAATTATTTCAAGATAAACCTATTATTACCAGATTTTACTCATTATTTAAAGTAATTAAGTCGGATGATTCTAATGGATAGTATGGGAAAGGGTCCCAAAATTTCATAATATTCTATTATTATTGATATTATTATTGTATTCTTTTAATAATTGATTTCCCTAAGTATCTCCGGAACCCAAGATCCAATACCAATGAAATTAATGTGGACCATATGAGAAGCACCAGCTTTCAAATAAAAAAAAGAATCATCAAAATCGCTTCACTCACTCAAGTTCTGAGTTCAAACATAAAAAAAAATAGATTCGAATTGAGAACCTCCTCCTTTTAAAGTCAGTTAAAAATAAGAGTCAAGTCTATCTACAAAGTCTTGCAAGCAACTTCATAAAAGAGCAGCATGAAGTGGCAGTTTATACTTCCGCTTTTCATTTGGTGAGTGAGGTTGCAGGGCCCACTTTATTTAAAGATGGCAACACTGCTGTAACCCTACAGGTGCTGTAAATGTCAATGGGCGACAGTTACCACTTATCATCAGGTGAACTGCCTGCTTGGTTTGCCACTTTATGCCACATATATTTATATATTTTATGTATATTTTATAATTATAATAATAATATACATTTTATATTACACAGAGTATGTTATTTTTTGTCACTTTTTCAGCATAATTAGCTAATTTATTATATTATTTATTATATAATCTTGAAAGACCAAATTTAAAAAGTGTTATAAGAGCTTCATTACAGAAGTAATTAAATAATAAGTACACTGGTGCTTATTTACTGTTTATAAAATGACAGTCTTTCTTTGTGGTATGAACAGGTTTTCATTATTTTACATTTAATAATATGTAATTTGAAAAATTCTCTGTTCCCAATGGCCCATTTTAATGCAAGCCCCCCTCAATTTCACTTCCTTCCAATAAAATATTTCAGTTCAATTATTTTTATTTTAAACCATTATAGATTCTAAGCAAAGGTATTTTACTGATATAATGAAGATTTACTTCATGTACAAATGATATACTGATTCAATAAATCTTTGTTTCAGATCTTTTTCATTTATCACTCATGAGTTACACAATCCGTCATTCTTTTACACCCACATGCCTCCCACACTTACTGTAGGCATGTGTAACTTGAAAGTAAAAAGTAAAACTGTGTAAAAAGATTTTATATTTAAAGGTAAGATAACAGCCCGAATAAAAAAATATTTAAATACTCACAGAGTTTTTATCTGGGTGATATTTTATTGCTAGTTTTTTATATGCTTGCCTTATCTCTTGTGTAGTTGCTTGTTTTGATACCCCCAATATTTCGTAGTATGTGACATCCATCAGATTAGCGCTATCAATTAGGGCAATACATAGGAATACTAATTTATACCTAAAACATATAATTATAACATCATACTGCGTTCACCGGTTCTCATAATAAAAGGAAGTAGGTAAAGGCGCTCCTTATCAAAAGATTTGAATAATCCCTAAATAAATCTACATCAACTTACATTTTGAACAAACTTGTTGGTGAAGGAGCACAATAGTATTTTTTATGTATTTTACTAAACACATTTAATTCACTTTATTATAATAAAACCAATTCAAGTTTTAACTTGGTGATAACAGTTATTTCAAATATTACGCTCCTTAAATTCTAACATTACCATAAAATAACCAAAATTAATACAGAACACTGCGTAAGTGGTAAGTATTTAAGAATCAGAAGTTTTTACAATATATTAGAGACATTTAAATGTAAAGTACTTTACACTTTATAAAAGTCAAGCGGATTAACTCACGGCGCTATCTATAATCTATCTATCTCTAGCTAAAATTCTGTTCCTTTCCGTCAATGTCAAACCCGAACACGGTAAAAATCCTTCTGTTCTGACGTTTCATCTTTGAGTTGCCACTTGCAGACGTTTCATTCATTACCGTATTATGTAATTATGAGGGTCATTTATTATGAGAGTCGCCATCACAGTGATGATTACAGATTATATGCTCCATGTGGTGGTAGATTTGAAAGACGCTGGAATGCTGCACCCTGGACATGGAGTGATCAATTAATTTCCAGGGTGTGTTGTCATTTAAATAATCAATAATACTTTCTAACAGACAAACGTTCCTTTACAAGATTTTTGAATTTAGTGACTGATTCATTTCGAACATTTTCTGCGATTTTGTTGTGAAAACGTATACATTGTCCCATAAAAGATTTACTTATTTTACACAATTTGGATGAGACTAGAATTAATTTATGTTTTTTCCTAGTATTTATATCATGTACATTACTAAATCTTGAAAAGTAATACTTATTATGGACATACATTACATTGGCAAGCACGTACTGCAACAGCCCGACTTTGATTTCTTTAAACAAGTTTCTTAGTGATACTTTGGGACCCAGGTTATAGACTGCTCGAATATCTGTCCTTTGCCGAATGAAGATAGTGTTTGTGTCGGCTGCGTTATCCTGAAGTAGAATGCCATAAGACATTATACTGTGGATATTACTAAAATCTACCAAACGAGCCGTATCCACATCAGTAAACTGTTTGTTTAACCGCTGCTGCGAAGGCTGCTGAGGTAAGTCTACTTATCATCATCATTTCACCGTTTTTGAGTCCACTGCTGAATATAGGCCTTCCACTGCCACGAAGCATGATTCTAAGCCACCTACACCCATCGACTTTCCGCACATTTGCATAGGTCGTCACTTCATCTATTGTGAGTCGTCACACACTGCGATGGCCAGTACGAGGCTGCCACTGTAGAACCTTTCTTTCATAACCGGCCCATCGCCACTTCACCATACTAACCTTCTGAGTCGTCGGTTACCTTTGTTCTACTGCGAACGCCATCAAGCATCACAATACATATAACGAAATACCGAGCATAGCCATTGCTCCATAGTTCGCTGAGCAACCTTGAGCTTCCGCATACGGCCAGTAGTGAAGGACCGCGCCCATTTGCCAGCTTATTAATATGGGCCCTTATTGCAGTTTGGCATCTTAAGTTATGCCAAGAAATACAGTCGAGTCAATAAGGTCTAACGCTTCCCTAAATAGAAGTACATCAGTTTTTCCACGTTTTACATTGGAAGTTGTTTTAAAACATTAAGTTTTTTAATATTTAACGTTGTTAGCACTAAACCAATGCCCTACAGAGGAGAGAGTATTGTTTGTTATCTTTCAATTCCTCTTTGGACTTTGCACACAACTGTTGCACAAACTGTGTTTAAAAATAACTTTTCTTCATTTTACTTACAAATATGCTTAAAATTGATTTTATGTCTGGTCTAGGCCTCAGATTCGGTGAAACGTAATTCTGTCGGACTTTACATTTAAGGAAATCCCAACGACTAATTAACGTATTAATTTTTATTAGTGAGCCGTCCGATTGCTACTTAAATAATAAAAACGGAATTTTCTTCAGTTGTTTTATAAATTGTAAATTGTTTAATGTAAACATATGTGATATTATATTTCTTTTCGTAAATCAATAGTTTCAATTATTTATATTTCGCGATTAAATCAAAATTTTGTCCAGATTATTTTCCTTGGATAAGTTCTTGGCTAGTACTATTCAATGCTATCCAAGTATATGATTAAACCTCTATCTAGCAATTGTGTCATCCATCCTGTTAGTTAATTTTTTAATCTCGTCTCTAGGGGTCTTGCGGTGGAGCGGACGCTGTTACTGTGTCGTCATCGTGCTTGGTTGTTCTCTCCTGAAGTCGTTTATCAGCGGACCACTCCCGATGAAGGTGTCAAAGCCCAGAGGCTTATAGCATAAAAAATTAAAAAAAAAATCTAATTTAAGCATATTTTTAGAACGCAAGTGTCATTCTCATTCCGTAATCCGTCACAGTAAAGTCAACTGTCGTGTCCGTCATGAGAACTAGGTCGACAGAATAGTCTCTATTCAATGTCTTATTTTTTGGACTGTTCGAGTAGTAATTTGCTGGCATAGAATTACAAATCGTTTAAAGTTCGACAAATATCAGACTGATTATGAACATTATTACGGAAGAATAGATTGCTGGAGTTTGGGCTATAAGGCAGACGGAACTAAAGTAAGATGAATAAATGTACTATCATTTGCCATATTTTACTTATTTTACCCACTTCTGTTCGAAGTATATTGATAAAAACTGAAAATTCTACTTGTTACCGTCGCACATTGAGTTACTGAAACAGATATTGTTAAATAATTTCATAGAATTTCGAGTTATGCTTTCAAACGTAAAATTCAAAATTAGATTTTTCAAATTGTCGAAAGAGAAGGAAATGAGAAAAGATAAAAAATATTTTACAACTTCCTCAAGATAATTTTGAATTGTGTAAAATTTTAATCGACTTTGTAAAGATGATTATGCAAGAAGTTGCTTAGAAAGTAATAATTTCAAACACTAAAATACTTCGTACTTCATTTACTAATATAGATATGTGGGTGTGGTATGTGGTTTACGATTAAATTCTAGTAATAACACTGTATTAAGTTTTTTAAAACCTTCAGGGCTTTTTAGTTTTTATGTATTGTAGTGGTATTCAACAAACTGTTTTAACATATTAGAATAAATTGCAGAAAAGTAGGTCAAATCTACTCCTTTACTAGAGTTTTTTTGAAGTTACTTTATCCTTTATTACTTACTTTCATCTTACTTACTTTTTTACTTAACTTTACATTCCCAACTTCTACTATAAAATATCAAAAGAGAAAAAGTTAAAAGGTTTCATGCACCTTTAATGCTTAAGGTCTAAAATATAACAATATTTCATAGTTCCCATTTTCAGACGGACTTATGGCAAGTGGAAATAGTTAAGATGGCTGATAAACATAGCTTGAACTATGACGTGAGAGAATTAAAGCTGGGTTCCAGCTTCACCAACAACAGGACCTCCCAATACCATACTATTAAATGTAAGTTAACTTATTGGTAATGAAATAATATTATACATTAAAATTTAAATGAGAAAACTATAGTAAATAAGTATGCATTAGGAAATCGATTATTGGCTCTATGTGTTGATGATTTGATGTTTAAAGAAGTCACAAAATAAAGATATTTTTCCAGTCTTTTTTATTCTGAGGTTTAACACATTAGTATATAATATAGGTATGTAGGAATATGTCCTAGTCTTATTAGTTATATTTTAAATTTAATCAAGATGAGGAATATTGCATAAGAAAAAACTATAATATCATTTTAAGCATGATACATCTTTATTTTAGTTTAAGTTCTGAGTGATTGTGATAATACCATGAGTGCTGTTATCAATTTGTTTTTTTTTTTTGAGATATTTAAAAATGCTTGTACCTTCAGGGTCAGCTTGTTCTTTTGTTTTAAAAAAAACTATATTAAAATGTAGCAAACATGTTATGTAACATGTTTGGGTAACTGTTTAGAGTATTCTAGAAGGTGTATAAATTTATTATGTGGTAAATGTATAGGTAATAAAGTGTTTTTTTGTTTCAGATGATTTTAAGCCTGCATCAGTGGACATGAATAAAATGGCAACTGTTGATGTGGGAACTAATAATCAAGTTACTGTGACAGTGCCTCATTTAGGTAAATATTTCCATAAAAATTGTTGTGATTATGACATAGTCTAAAAGAGAATGTATCCTTGCATATATCTTTTATATCATGTATCTTTTAAAAGCAAGATTTGAACTCATTTTGAGCTACCACAGATTCGTGCATTGGAGACTTGTCTCAAACTTTTGAGCTAAATAATTATGTTTCATTGATAATTTATGTTGAAAGCACAGCTTATTATCTCTCTCCTTAGTGGTAATACTTACAATGTTAAAATCTTAATACATATCAGAATAATAGAAACAATTAATTAACATTTTGAAGAAGAACTCAAATTCATTTATACAGCGTGTCTTTATCATCGCGACAATAAATGAACACACGTCTAACGCTACTTGCCAATAATCATAAAAAAATATTAACGTTAAACAAAATCCATAATTAAAAAAAATATATTTTTCAAACAAACTAATTAAGTAAAAAAGAAACAAAATTTGTAACGTCCTATACAACTCGCGTCACAGCGTCGTATTACAAGCCTCTCCTTCTAACAGTATGTTTTGTCTCTTTTAAATTCATTCAACCCATTCATATGCTTTGTGACCTTTACAAATGAACTTTACGTTACGCTTTTATAGGTAAGGATGTTCTAAAATTCTTTGTTTTGGAAAATTTTATAACTCTGTAAATAATGAATGATGTTTAAAGAATTTAAATGTTTAATACAACTTTAAAAAGTTATCCCCTATATGTGTGTTCATTTATTGTCGAGTTGGTAACGACACGCTGTATAAAAGGAGGAATGATCAAGAGTGCCTGTAAACAGAAAATGTTCTCATTGAATTATTATTCATATATTAAAAAGAAAATGGTAATGTGCAAAGAAAACTTTAGCAAAGGAATTGTATAAATAAATAATTTTTAGATGGCGCTGGAGTTCCTCAAACAGTATTCAAAGGTAGTCAAAGACCTTACACAAAAGAGTGTGTACTAATCATAGACAGGGTCACTGGAGAAATCACATTGGAGAAGCTCTCTAGCAATATTCAAGTTAAGAAAACAAGGTAATGATTTCCATTTTAATGTAAATGTATTTATTATACAATATATTCACAGGTGAAAATGTAACACAGACTGTCAGCTTTCTGATTTTAATCAAGCATTGAATAATTTATGTAATGATATTAGATAAAGGTTGGATTGAAATTGGTGCTAAGTATAAAAAGTTTATTTTTATTTATCTATCTGTGGCGATTAGAGTAAAGACATAATCTAAAATAAACAAGATACTGTATTATGCAAGACACTTTTTATAGTTCATACTTATGATATGTTAAGCTGTTTTTGAACAATGAAAAACATATAGGTTTTTACTAGTATGTTTATTTTTAGACAAGAAACTGCTCAGAAGCCACGTCCTCTAACGCCAGTGACAACCGACTTTACAAACACAACCCAGAGGTCAACCTCCCGCACGAGGGTCGCTACAAATCGTCGCACTAACAATAACGCAAGTGGGTATTGTTCAAGTTAATTATGTTGAAATTAAAAGTCCTAATTTAAAATTAACTTTCCCCTCATTTTGATGGGATAGAAAAAAAGTTCCTTAATAGATGTTACTATAATTCAAATGGTAAATCATAATCCATCGAGTAATGAAATCAATAACTATCAATAACTTTTCTAAATTTCTGGGATTGTAAGTCTTATTTGATGAGGGTGGGGTTCAAATGCTTAGAAAAAATTCCACGATATTAATTGTTTACTAAAATTTAAGGAAACTAATTGTTACTGTAAAATAATAACACGACAATAATTGAACAGGGAAACTATGAACTAAATGCTAATAGATGCAGCATAATTTTTTCACTAGAATATTGTTTTGATTACATCAGTTTTAGATCACATCAGTTATGTTAATGCTTCTGTTTAAAGAAATCTAGATAGCATACTTTTTTGTTCTTGTGCATACAAGTATATTTCTTTTTATTTTATTTATTAGATGCGGCCAGTGCTGCCCAGCCGAATGTCCAATCGCGCTTCAACAACAGTGCCGTGCAAAAGCCCGTTCAGAACATGGTCAGGTCACCTCCACGCGTTAAGACCTCACCACCCCAGGCTCCGTAAGTTGAACATTTCTATGGAAGAAACAACTTTTTCCTCTGATGAAGTATAATAGTACACATAGTATAGATATAGTAACAATTGTTGGAGGGGTTTTTTTATGTTAAGTGATTCTACCTTGTTGATTCTAAAACTCTTTTGGAGTGGCAGATTCTGTTAACACTTTTCCAAGTATAATAATTACTTCCACTTTATGCTGTTCTGTGACACCATGGTACTTACCTTGAGCTGCCCATATGGCCAACAGCTGAAGCTGTAGAGTGGCCCTACCGCACTAAGTTGGACTATGCTTTTTTGAATTGAAGTCTGTTACTTTGTACTGATAAATGATTTCAATATCATCCTTAAATTGTTGACATTGAATGTACAATGAATGCCATACCTTTAGAAAGTTCCTTGTATCTAATTTGTTTATGGAACAGCTTTTTGATGTGAAATCATTTTGCAAATCGAGCATCTGATTGTAAAGTACAAGTTAGGGAAGTTCTACAGAAGTAAGACTGCCTTGGATTAATAGTTAAGTTATGAAGTAATGAAAAACTTTTGATTTTATCGAAGAAAATTGGAATTGGAAAGAATGTGTGTAATTGAAGTCCACCAATTTAGTCTGGCAACATTTTGCCATCTCCTTGTCGATTATGTAATGTCGCAGTAACTAATGAACTCAACAGCAGTTTCATTTACCAATAGGTGGTAATAGTTACCACATACTAATTACACTAATTACACACATTAATTGTGTATTTTGTATTGTCTCCAAATGAATATTTTTTGTTATTACTTGCCACTTATTCATAAAAAAATGAGTGGCCAGTATGCATACTTACCATTCTTAGCTTCTACATGTTTAAAACATGAATACGGATGGCAAAGTTTAATTACCATCGGGACATTACCATGTAGATTGGCACCTAGCAGCTCAGTTTCTGTAAGTTAATAGACAAAAGTCTTAGCGGCTACGATTACTTACGAACTGCTTGATTACTTGCCAGTAAAAAAAACGTGTATATGTATTAATGTACTCACATAAGAAGTAAGAAAAGAAAAATAACAGAATACTTTATTTCATTTGGGTACATTAAGAGCTAGCGTACTGGTCTTTATTATGAAAAAAATTATGTATTATATGCATGCATATTATACATATATAGGTATTTATATGCAGGCGGGCTGACGTCAACCCTCCTTGGGAGCAAACGCACACATTAGGAACAATTATTATCTGTGGGGTCACACAAATACTAGTTTTCTTTTATTCACCTGACGAAACGCAGAATTATGACACATCCACTTTACGTCGGTCTTCTGTGAGGCTGTGGTGCCACCCCGCACGGAGCCACTCGTGTAACAGCGAGGACTGTTGCGTGGCCCTTTTTTTTGTATTGGGGGGGGGGGGGGGGGGGGGGGGGGTGGGGGGGGGGGCAATCTTCCAAAGATACCCTGTCACGTTACATGGCAGGGTTATGTGAGGTTCTTACCCACTAAAACCCCCTCGGTGGCCACCCTCTGTACGTTTGGAGAGACTCCGGGATCTCCCACGGAACGCACCGGTGTCCCTCAGTACTGCGCGTGAGCACTCCCCGGTGAAGGATAGCTTCCCCGGTTCCCTCACCATCTTGCAGCAGCTCGAGACCACTTCGAGCTGCTGCCAATCCGTGTCCCCTTTTAGTCGCCTTTTACGACAGGCAGGGAATACCTTAGCCCTATTCTGTTGCGTGGCCCTACCGCAGTTAAAATGCGGGAATCGAACCCACGACACCGCGGCGCCGAAGCCGATAGATTATCAACTGCGCCGCCGAGCCGTCAACGCGTCAAAAGAGGTTTAAACTCGAACATCGACAGATGGTCGGGCGGCGGCAACAGCACGCTCGCGTCCCTGCCGATGATCGGGCTGGACGACGCGCCGGCGGCGAGGAGTCCCGGGCCGCAGGCGGCGCGCGTGGCCCACGTCGCCCACGCGCCCCACGCCGCCCACGCCCACGCGCCGCACGCCGCCCACATTGCCCACGCGGCCCAAGCCGCCCACGCGCCCCCGCAGCACAGCATGCCGCACATGCACGCACCGCCCCCCGCGCCCGCGCCCGCTCCAGCGCCCGCCCCCGCTCCCGCTCCCGCTCAGGTATGCGCTTTCCTATCGACTCCACTTTGTCTTATAGAGCTATTGTTTTTTCCTGCCCTATTTGCTATTAGTTTAGGTACCTATTATAGTCAATGATATTATATACAAATACGAAGTACATTTGACACTAGCGCACCGAATCTGAGCCGCTCAAATTACGCCAATTTGTGTAATTAGATTGCAACTCTATAGAATGCTATCTCTTTCCATATCATACTTTCTACATCATCTGTCACATTCGCTTATACAGGGAGGCAGTTCTAAGTGTATCCATTTTTTTTATTAAATTCTGGGCAAAAATAATGTTATATAAAAAATGATAAACATTTAAAATCGTAGCCGTGATAGCTCAGTGTCCGGGTGCTCGCCTTTAATTCAATATACTCGAGCAACCTGAGTTCGATCCCCGGTGCCGGCACCAGTGAAGTTTTTAACTTTAAGTGCTGACTTATCACGTGCTCCGCGGTGAAGGAAAACATCGTGAGAAAACCATATATATATTTCGAAAATATGTGAAGTCCGCCAATCCGCAGTGGGGCCGCGTGGTGGACTATGCCCTGTATAGGCTGTAACTTTACTTTTTTTTATTTAAAATCACTAGTAATTAATTAATTACATTCATTTGAACTTATCTCAAAAGTGTGTGATTTATGGGCAACTTATTTATTTTACGCGCGATCATTCTTACTAACACGCACACAAGTTTGTTTCAAAAGTATACGACGCATTTATAAATGACTACCGCACTGTCAACAAGTTCTGTTTTTTAGGGAATAGAATGGCAATTTCTTTTTTGAAGAAAATAAAAGTTTGTTTGTATTTCAATAAACGATTATACTACCGATTCTGAACCTCCATTCTCAATCTTGTGTGAATTTGGGCACCTTTAGAAAAGCCATCCTGTATATGCATGTTTTATTATTCATAACCGACTTGGCCAGACATTGTGGTCGAACCACGCATTAACTTATTGATATAATTATACGTATTAATTAAATATCTCGTAATATAGGAAAATGTCAAAAAATAGCAACCGTGCTATGGTAATGCCGTGTTGTTGGTGCCGCTTTAAGTTGTCGCGCATCGAAAAAAATCCACACTCCCTAAACCATTTTCCCAAACGCGCCAAAAGAAGTATAACTTCAATAAAAAAGAATGCCTGCTGTCGATGAACTATGATGAATTATACTATCATGTCGACAACGTAACAAAAGAAACACAACTTCGAAGACTCCCTCGGTCTATGAACTTATACCACCATCTAACCTCGCCTCGTGGAAGGAAGTGTAAATTCAGACTCCCTCGGTCAATGAACTTAGGCGACCGTCTCAAGAAATATAACTTCAGACTCCCTCGGTCAATGAACTTAGGCGACTATCTAAAGAAGTATAACTTCAGACTCCCTCGGTCAATGAACTTAGGTGACCGTCTCAAGAAATATAACTTAGGACTCCCTCGGTCAATGAACTTAGGCGACCATCTAAAGAAGTATAACTTCAGACTCCCTCGGTCAATGAACTTAGGCGACCATCTAAAGAAGTATAACTTCAGACTCCCTCGGTCAATGAACTTAGGCGACCATCTCGAGAAATATAACTTCAGACTCCCTCGGTCAATGAACTTAGGCGACCATCTCGAGAAATATAACTTCAGACTCGCGGAGTTCAATGAACTTGGCGACCATTTAACCACGCCCCGTAAACCACGGAACAGCAGGCCGCGTCCCAGGACGACAGCTCGTCGAGCTCCTCGAGCGACAGCGACAGCGACAGCGGAAGCGGAAGCGACAGCGACGAGAACGACTCCTCGGCCGCCCTGCCCGCTCTGCCCGCCCTGCCCACTCTCACCAACGGTACGCCGCCGCCTATGACTTGCGTTCGACATTAGGTCGTTTAAAGTTTGCAGTAAAGAGTACGAAAAGTCTCTCGCCGCTGTGGGAATCGAACCCACGTCTTCGGGATTCGCAGGCGCTTTACACACTAAGCTAAAAAAGTTTGTATGCTGTAAATAGCGGATATAATAACTTTTCGTACTTTCTTCTACAAACTTCAATGTTCTTAAGTGCAGAGATTATCACTATAAAAATTTAAATTCGTTTTAATTATTAACCGTGCTCAGTGTCCGGGCGCTCAACTCTTAAGTGCTTAAGCGGTAGAGATAATCAGTATGTTTCCGAATAATAACGAAACAAAAATACTTTGAAGATCTGTGAATTTAACCAATCCGCAGTTGGGTCACGTGGTGGACTATACCTTAATGCCCTCTGTACAGAGGCCTTTGCCCATCTTTGGGACCTGTTTGGGGCTGTTACTTTACTTTTTTTTTTAATTTTCCAATAAACAAACAAAAACGTATCAAACATCGCCCAGCCTTGTTCTTAATTAGCCTGTTTCAGGATAACTTTCCACTGTGCTTCATAAGCGATTACTAGAGAATGCTCGGGGTACTTTGCATAATGAAAATTTTATTAGTTATCTGTGTTTAAGTATACATGTATGTATGGGAACAGAGATCACCTAATGAGGTCGGGGTTTTTGTGTTGGGGCTTTTGTGTTATGCCAAGTGTAAATCCGAGACAGTGATTTTTTGTTTGTAAGCAATTCGAAAAAAAAAATGGTTTTACGCCACTGGCATTTGAATCTGCAACCTTATAAGATTTCTTTAACTTCTTACAACAACATCGGGATAGAAAGAAAGAAAACCACATGTACATTTAAACCGCAAACAAAATTATGTAGTAAAAAGGAACAAAAAATATGAAACTTTACACATTTTACACACACACTTATGTGTGACGTACACGTACACGTACTATCTATTGTCACAAAATACATATTTATCCATCATATGAGAGTATATAGCGTGTCGTTACCTCCGTGACAATAAATGAACACACGTCTAACGCTACTTGCCGATAACCTTAAAAAAATATTAACGTTAAAAAATCCATAATTAAAAAAATATATTTTTCAAACAAACTAATTAGGTAAAAACCAAACAAAATTTAAATATACAACTATCAAACTGTTCAACACATCGTGACTAACATTCAGCTTTTTCACTTGCCACAGCGATTACGAGCCTCTCCTTCTAACATTATGTTTTGTCTCTTAAAAAACCCATTCATTCCTTTAAAATGAACGTTTTAAAAGGATCCAAATATTGATGTTTAAAGAATGTAAATGTTTAATAAAATTTTAAAAAGTTATCCACTATATGTGTGTTCATTTATCGCGAATGTAAAGACACGCTGTATTAGAGTAAAATGTGAAAGGTCGCGAAGCTAGCAGGCGTTATCAAATGTCAAGTGGTTACAGCTTAACAACAGGTTGAACCATGGGTTTTAGGTTCATTGACAACCCCTGTGAAAAAGGACACAAAAAATTCTAGAGAAATGGACGAAAAGTTTTTCGCCGCCGCCTTTCGTCTTCCGAATAGCTAAACGGCTGATCGTTATGCCGACGAAAATCCAAACGTGTTTATCTACATAGTTCTTTATTAAATTTTAAGCAACGTTTGGGGTAACTATAGTGTTCTTTACAACGGACGAACAATTTCAAATATCGTTTTACAGCGATAATTCGACAGAGACATGTCTATATGCCTTTTTCTACAAGTTATAATGTTTTGAAATATAAAAATTTTACGTAGAACTTAAGGGGTCTACAATAAAATTTTCCTTGGTCTTTGTTCGACGAACAGGTACAGTCAGCAACCCGGCCCTACCAAGCGACGTGCTCAACGATGACCTGTGTTTGTCCGAGTCTGGCAGCGATTCGGAGTGACCTCGTGTTTACCGTGTTCACGGTTTTTGGGACACCCTACTCATGCGATTCGGCAATGGGACCGAGCGAGGGTCGCGCATGACTTGAAGCGACTAAACGATATATCAATTACTTTCGTATTTGTAAATAAAAATAGGGACATCTACACACGTGTGAAATGTAATACGACGTCAAAAGTAAAGGACAATTTTCTACGACCCGAAATGCCCTCGCTTAAAGTGAAGGCCTTTCCACGCTTGCGACATTCCAATAAGACCTTTGCCCATAAACTCGTGTGTTTCTTAAAGCGAAAGACCTTTCCACACGAACATTCACACTATCAAAGTAAAGGCCTTCCAACACAAGCTAAAATTCCACCCGACCCTCGCCTGTCCCATGTGTGTATTATAAAAGCGACCGCGCTACTATCACAATAATTCGGCGACGTTCAAAATTTTATATCCGCAATGTCTTTATTGGTTATAACGCATGTCGTGAACACAGCATCGTATCGTCTGCGTCGACGTATAAAGTGAAACGTGCCTCAAAAGAATAGAGATATATTTTTTATTTTATGCCAATATTTTTAAATAACGTTTAGTGTTAAGGTTATATCGTTTGTTTGATAGAGTTATATCGTGACCACACTTACAAGGCGTTTACGTGTGGTTTTAAATCCATCAACTAATGAAGAGTGCCTCATCTACCACTGCGAAATATACACTGTGACATGCCGCAAAAGATGTATTACAGGAATGTATGTAGATCTGTGTATTGCTTATATACCGAACGCAATATTTGCGATTAACTATATACAATATAGCGTTGAACGGACACCGGAAATATGTGCCTTTTGAATTATAGATCGAATTGTATAAGCAGTTTACATTGTAACGTACGATCATATAAAATTCATATCAAACTTGTTTTTGTATTTTTATTTAAGTCCCACCAAAAATAGGAAATTGTTCATTGATAATGCGCCCTTGATGACACGGTAAGTAATAATAAGCATGGTAAGAATACAGTGTCCCGAGATGTGGGTTAGACTCCACCCGGAACAAGTATTTGTATGACCCACATAAGTGTTTCAAATCTGCGCGCTTATTATAGTTCAATTACTGTTTGTGAAATATCTCTATAACATCAGATTCTTCTTTCGTAGAGCAGGGTAATATAAAAGACACAGGACATTTATTTATTGTTTTAAATAATGCAATCTATATTATTTATATTTCGATGGTCCCTAAGTAAAGTATCGAAAGTGAAAAATGCAACTTTTCAGGAGAGCGATTTAAAGTTTATTTTTTGCATAACTTTGACATTTATGATAAGAACTTCATAAAAATTTGGATTCACAGTTGTATTGGGCTTATTAATTATTAGGTTATTGCAAAAATCGATAATTATAAATAGTTTTCGAGAAAAGTAAGTTACGATAGTATACAGTGTAAATGAACTTGCTTTATGAATCGAAACTGGCACTTTCGATTATTTACAGGGAACCGCATATACACAAATGTATCGAATCTGCCGATTTCGATATTTTACGTTGGCTTATGTTAGGAATATTTTATTGAAAGTGCCATATTCGATTATTTACTTCGTAGAATGCTTGCACTTACAATTATTTTGTAATAGAAAAACAAGAAAATAAATTACGTAAAACACCTTTATTAAAGTGTGTTGCAAATTAAACAAATGCATAAATTGTTGATGTAAATAATATTTAAAATCAGTCTTTGTTACCAACTTATCTATGGTAGAATTTAGGAAACAAACAAAAATGTAGGACTTCATTGGTAGATACGTAATACTAATTCAGAAAAAATATTCATCAGAATAACTCATCTCGAATTTCTGTCTTAACAAAAAATATTATAGTAAAATATCATAAATAGAGAATACAGAAAAATATCTTAGTAAATGAATATTCCTCATCGGACTCATCAATATTTCAGATGAAAAGAAAAATCCGTTGCCGTAAAACCTATGAAATATCATTATTTTTAGGTATTGTTTATCAACGACATAAAGAAATCAAATCTTTATACTTTGCTACTGGTAAAAGTAGTGAATCTGAATAAAGATTTTTTAAGAGGTGGTAGGACCACGCAGCAGCCTCGGCTGTTGCACGAATGGGCAGGCTCGTCCGGGTAAGTACCACGACCTCACAGAAGACCGGCGTAAAGTGGAAGTAAATACTTTCGTGTTTCGTCTGGTGAGTGAGGTGGCCGGAGCCCAATCTTCAAAAGGTTGTCAACGCATCTTGAACCCTCGGGTGTAGCAAATGTCCATGGGCGGCGGTAATCACTTAACATCAGGTCACCGTCTACTCGCTTGGCAACTTTTCACATAAAAAAAACGACGTCGGCCGACACATTCTCTTTTTGCGGCTTCTTGTTTCTCAAAATTAACTATTTATACTAACTTTGTATTTACACAAAAATAACACTTCAAATCACATTTAAAATACAATCTTTTCTTACACTAACATCTTTAATGCTGTTCCACTTCACATTTTCATTTGTATTGTCTCTTTTCCAATTTTTGTCATCTAATAAAAATTAAAGTCGTAAACATCACTCTTGGTTTCTTCTACAACGTTGTCGGGTCTCCGTTCAGCCTTTGCCCGTCGTACTAATGCGTACGATCATCGGTTAAGAGCGTAAATTAGTTTTTTCTTAGATTATCTCTCTATGAGGACGTGTACACTATCGCCCTCGATCTAAGTACGGCCTTGCTCTAAACAACGATGAGCAATATCTACGCCAAATCGTCTTGACAACTGCATTTATAAGGAATATACGATTCTATTCCTATTCTGGCCCACACAATTATCGGACCAAGTAAGAATTTCTTAGCACCCTGATCTATCATTTGCGTTTAAATAATGCTTCAAACAGGTACTTACTTCATTAGCTCCTCTTTTACCGGTACTTTCTATCCACATGTGCTACATGAGGATACGAAGTACTGGTACCTTCTTTAAAAGCTAAATCGAAAACAGCCAACGAAAGTTACATACCAAAGTATAATAAAAAAGTTAAATACAGAAAATTTCAGCTTATAATAAAACAAACCAATGTCTCGTGAGTATGGATGAATACATAAGCCATTTAAAAATGTTTACACACAAACCTGTTGTGGTGTAAATGTGCTGGTAAAAAAATATTGGGACGTAAGTTGTTTTCTTGGTTAATAATTTTATGGGTGAACTTATTGATAAACTCCCATTGCCTACCTAGTATGATTTCCTTTCCATTTCGACTGAGGTATTGCTGACCAGAACTTTCGTTTTTACGGGATACCTTGATCTTTTTTCCGGAGTTAGTTTTAAAAATGGGTTTTCTTTCTTTTCCTGTACTCCTACTGCTACATACTCATACATAACTCTTTCGGAATTACATTCCGAAACAGTTATGTATGAGTCTGCACTTGGTAACTATGTTATAGGTTTAGCATAATCCTCACCTAACTGTTAAGACCTAACTCTAAAGACTCGATTCTTGTTCTCTATTTTGACTTCAGGTAATAATAGTATTACCTCAAGTCAAAGTGACGAACAAGAACCCTATTTATAGAATACTATTTCTTGTACGGGAGACCCGACTTCTGAATCTGGGGAAGGTAATAGAGTTATTTCCCTGCTTTTCATGAAAATTGATGAACTTTGGTCACTGTCTTCGATGATAACCGAGTTGCATGGGAAGTTAAACTGTGGTTGTGTCCATCAATTCATCGTCTAAACAAATCCTTTATATTTTTCCAATCATTGAAGACGCAGTTGATGGGTATCGGTGACTCTAAAAAAAAGTAGAAGGTAAGTAGGTAAATTAAATAAAAATAATAAAAATATTATTTAAGAAAGTCTAGTTTTATGAATCACAGAAAATAAATATTATAAGTAAGTTTCTTCACTTTAATATAAGCACTTACCTATATCGAATCTTTACAAAAAAGAAATAAAATCCACCCGAAACAATCGAAAGTGGCACTTCCAATTGAAATTTGACTTTGTAATACAACGTAAAGTATTGAAATCGTCAGTTTCGATAGAATTATATTATGAAAAAACCACGTAGGTAATCGAAACCGGTACTTTCGATACTATTAGGAAATTACAACCCGTCATAAACAATCGAATCTACCCGATTCGATATATTACGCGGGAGGGTAACTTTCTCATCACACAATATATTTTATTAATAGAGAATAAAAAAACCATTAACAAAATAGCTATAAGAATTTTGCACGCCAGGCGCGCATCACTGCGGCGTAAACTAGCGATAGTGGTAGTTCCGTCCTTGTTTCACACTCGCCGATGCAGCGTAATCTCGCGAAAGTTAACATTCGTTGTTTTACGCCGGATAGTCTGTTACGTTTCGTTATTATACGTTTCTAAAAAACGCATACACAATGACTTTTTAAAATTTTTGAAAACCTTGTTACAAAATTACTATTATTCAGATCTCAAAACAGCAATAAAAAAAAATTGCAATTTTGTAGATTCGATACTTTACCTAGGGACCATATTAAAATAGGTATAGATAAAATGCATTGTTGTACTGGTTATTTAGAAAAACTATTTTAAATTATACTTAGTAGCTTACAACTCGCTGAAAACATCGATATTCAAATATAAGATAAAATTGTAAGTCGAAGCTAACTCATTAGCGGTGTATTCTTAACAATCTGTCAAGCAATGACAGACGAGACTGTTTATCGTCCACGATAAACCATTCAGAACAGTTTATCTTTAGACCGTTTTACATCATGGCTAAAATAGTTATTTTAAACATATAAAAAACCGTTTAACAACTTTTAAGTTAAACGGTTTTATTTTCTGTCTTTTTTTTTGTGGACTGAAAACTACAATATTGTATTGTCATCTAAATTAAATGTGTGTACCAAATTTCAGATCAATCTGACAACGGGAAAGTGCTTAAATTTCAATTTCTAATTTTGACCCAAATAAACAAACAAATTCCGTACGGGTCGAGCTAAATAAAACTTATTAAAAAGGGCAATCGCCATGTACATTGACTAAAGGAATATCGATATAACATTTACACAACTTTATCTACTCCCAAATCTATCCATATAACTGAAAAACTTACCTAATCGTTGTTTACTTTTGTAAATAAATACATATTATAGATAAATATAAACAAACAAATACTAGAAAAATCACTATGTTCATTACACAATATTTTTCCAGTAGTAGGGATAGAACCCACACCCTCTGGCGCAGGGGACAGGGTCACTATCCACTAGGCTAATTTTTACACTACACTTATTGTAATTACATACATTACATTTATTGTAATTTTTTATTTTACACTTATTTTTACATTACAATTAAGTTTCCTCTTATGGAACTCATGAATGAACAAAAAATAAGCTAAATAAATAACTAGCGATTATTTCATCATAAACAAGAAATATTAAAAGCATAATTATAATAATAATAAACAATAAGAAGCTAATAAAATGGGTAACAATTGTAAAAAGGTACATAAGTAACAAACAAGAAGTTATTATAGAAAAGGAATTCGGAACATTATTGTAATCTTTTAATTCGATATGGCGAAGAAAACAAAGATTGAAAAGGCCCAGGATTGTTTAGAGAGATCGGTTGTTTCATCAGGATCATATTTGCCTTCACAGATTTGTTGAATCCATGCTAAAATTTCATAATTAAGGTTTGTAATTATTGCCTTAGCCGGCGTATTTTAGTGGTTTGGCAGCTTTGTACTGTCATCTGCACAGAAAAAACAAACGCAAAACAAAAGCAATTTATTAACGAGAATTCTTTATTTTAATGATTTGAAAGCTGAACAAACACAATATATACAAATAGTAATATTATTACCATAAAAGTTGACCGCTGTTGCATTTTTTGACGTTATGTAGATATTCTACATGCATGCATTCTACGTACATTTTGATCTCTCACTCATACGGCAGTGCTTGTGTTTTTGCATTGGATATTAGTTAGGTAAATATTTTTATTTTTATGAACTTTATATTTCACTCATATATTTGAGCACGTTTCATATTATAAGCTAAAATTGTAATCATTGATTGAAAATTAAAGTTTTTGATTGATTGAATTTTTTTTTGTTTCAAGTCAAAGGGGACAAGAAAATATTACTTCATTTACAGTTCAAGTTTTGAAAACGGCCCATAATTCCCAAGGATACGGAGAAGAAAAATCATAAAAAGTTGATAATAAATTGAAGCCCAAATGAAGCTTCACGGGCAGGTATACCTAGCAAAGACATGGATTAGATTGTAATTTAGCTAATATCATCGTTGTACAAAAATATCCTTGTTAACAATCTACATAGCATATAGCATTTGACTTCGTGCTTCTGCATTTGTGATGCAAATATTGTTGCAATCGTTAAATTTTATACATTGAACCGTATTTGGTTAACGGTCATAGTCACGATTTGGTGTAACATAATCGATAACATTCAGTTTAGGAATAAGACCTAGACATAAGTTCTAGGTAAAGTAACCAAAAGATATTTTTATGGATAGAAATTCACCGTCGACATACGCGATTGTTTACCTTCTTGGAAACAATATGTGTATATTATATAACTGTGTATTCATAGATCACATTTATGCAATTTGATTCGATTACCACCATTACAAATTTTTATTGATTCTCTGACACAAATGACTTTAGATTTAATAGACTTTGAATCATTTTGTTTGATGATTCTTTACCCAAATGTTTGTTTGTAAACGAGTTGATTTGACTAAATAAGTCCTATCTCTCGTCTGATTGATTGATGTATATTCAATCAAATACTTACATGTTTTAAATTTACTGAGACAAACACTAAAATCAAATTTAAATTACTTTAGTATTCTTAACTTTCCAAAATTATTTCTAAAAATTATGGAAAAAATAAAGATTTTAATTATTACTACAGTTATTGCTTCAATAAATAATTTACCTATTTTTAACGCGTGAATTATTCCATATTCATAGAATATTGAGCGTTCGCAGTGTGTTCAATTGCTCCCACAAATGTAAAGGAGTGTTGATATAAATTGGTGACAATGTAACTTAATTACTGTGTCTAAAAGGTAGAAGAAAGAAAATAAAAAAATGTGTGCGTGTACTAGCATACACTCGTAAGAAGTGAAACTTTTTTATGACGTTATTTTTCAAAAAACAATTTACTATATGCAACTTTACAGAAATTGGTTAAATACAGTTAAATTAGATAAAGTTTAATAAAAGGCTTTTTCATTTTAGCTTTGTATAATATTTAGTTTCTTATTTGTAATACATAGGTGGCGTTAGTAGTAAATTAAAACACACTATGGTTTGACCGTTGTAATTAGTATGAGGGTCCGCAAAAATTGTTGATTAAAAAACTTGCAACGTGAACCTTGTTTATTTCAATGAATCTCACGGACCCAAAATACGACCGCTTTGAATTTGTACATGGTCCTTCGTTGCCGAATAGTCAGCCAGTGAGTAGAAGGCAGACATTCGACTCGCGCGCGAGTGTTGTGAGTGAAGTTTTTTTTGGACAACCGAACTTGCGGACGTTGGATCGACGTCGCAACCGCAAGTTCCAGGAGCCGATCGAGGCTTCGAAGAGCATCATCGGTCAGCTTTAGATTGTGTCTTCGGTGGAAGGCGCAGTCAGGTCACGGTGGGCGGTGCCTGCCTTTGGAGAAGAGGAAGTCTCTACAGTGTCGTGCTCTGAAGTATTAGAGCTAGCACTGTCATTACTACAAATATTATTATTGAATTTCATTAATTGTAATAGAATTATTACTATCATTGATGTCGTTATTATATATTTGTGTTATTAATGGCTTATGGTAACTGAAATACGAAATATATTGTTTACATATTAGAATTAAAATAAACCCTTTGATTTTGCTGATCACTTTTATATAACATATATATATATATTGTTATGAACACACAAAGGAACTAACGCCATCTAGCGTCAACTATTAAAACCACTAAGAACAAGATGGCGCGTAACGCAAAAATGTTATACTAAATTTTTTTCCAACCCTGATAAAGAAGTTTCACTTCAAAAATAAATAAGTAGCGTTTATTTTACATCATTACGTCAAAAATACGTGTTGGATGGATCCGCCATTTTAAAAGATTTTATATTTGAGCAAGGATTAATGCAATTAAACTTTGCAATAACCATTATTACTGTGTAGTGATTTAAGTGACATTTTAGAACAGAATTCCATTAGAGTTTCCTGGTCGGTTCAAGATTTACTCGCTAATGAAGTCTATTTTTATTTCTGTCTTCAATGTTACTATAAATTGTTTAGTACATCTGCAACTCTTACGTAATTGTTATTTTTAAAGTAGTAAAGTTTTTTTTACCATGGTGTGTGCATTAGAGAATATTCAAGCAACCAGTCAATCGTTGTTAATTTTATTTCGGCTGAATACTCTGTAACAATGATTATGAAATAAATTAAAAAATAAAATTGACCCTTTTTCGTTATAACACCGGCATTACAATATCTGACAAGTCTTAATCGATGGCAAATGTTGCAGGTAGCCATTGTTACCGGTTTAATGCTGTGCAGTATTACCGACGGATATATTTTTGGTCAGATGTCCGGAATGGTGAACGCTTTGCTTAATGCAAACGGTCTCAGTGAAGACGACGTGTCATGGATTGGTAATGTTAATTATTTATCCACTAGCTTTTCGCCCGCGGCTTCGCTCTCAATAAATAAATGGAAAAAAAAATAGTATAGAGATTTTCACCTGTGAATATATCGACCGCTTAGCCCAATCGGCTAGAGCTGGCCAGAGATTTACCCAGAGGATGCAAGTTTGTAAATATCGCAGCGCCGTACATTTTTTGACAATTTATCTATTGAGCTCATCATTTAAAATCAATATTGAGAATTTTATGTACCATTAACAAAGCGGAAGCAATGCAACGTATTTTTGTTTTTCGTTTATTTAAATGCTGTTATTTAATCGTACTTTTATCTTTTTAGGGTTCCGTACCTTAAAACGTAAAAAAAGGAACCCTTATAAGATCACACTCTTGTCCCCTGTCTGTCCGTGTGTCATCACCGATTTTCTCAGGATCGGGACCTAGCAAATTGAAATTTATACCAGATACTGAGATAAAAAGATATGGGTATAAAGCAAGGTCTTACAGCACAAATAAAGGAGAAATTCTTAAAAATAAAAAAAGTTTAAAATTAAGGGAATTTTTGGTACCTAAAAGTACTAAATTTGCCCAAATCTTTTCAGATCAGACTCAGGACCTTGATTTTTTTATACTCTTAATAGGGACTATAGACCTCAGTATTTGGTATAAATTTTATTAACTTGCTAGGTCTACCCATTCTTGAGAAAATCGTTGGTGATTATTTACCAAATTTATTTTGGCGGTATAATGGGTAGGTACGGAACGATCGGCATACGAGTTCGAATTGCACTTGACCGGATTTTAAATTTTTTATTTAATGATCGCAAACTGAAAATTACACTCACATTACAGAATAATGGTGTATTGTGAGACTTTCTGTGTACCTATGGTCTTCAACCCTCACCCTATTACATGAATTTTACATTTGCAGCTTCTACCATGAATGCTACGTGCGTAAGTGGCTTCGCGATAGCAGGACTGATCACAGAAAAGTTGGGCAGAAGGCGGGCAATAGTACTAATGAATCTACCGGTGTTGGCCACGTGGGTAATGATTTACTACTCGACGAGCCTGACGGCTTTCCTCGCCTCCCGTCTTTTGGTGGGTGTCGGTCACGGAGGCATCATATTTTTACAATACGTTTCGATGGCTGAATACGCCACGCCGAGTAAAAGGGCGGTATTCATCAACATCATATCAGCGGTGGGCCCCGCTTTGGGAATGACGATGGGGCATATACTTTGCATCCTGTTACATTGGAGAACGGTAGCTCTGTTGGGAATCGTTCCCACAGGCCTATCGATGCTCTTACCGCTGTTTTGGGTCGAGAGCCCCTCTTGGTTGGCTTCGAAAGGCAGGTTCGAGGAATGTGAGAGGGCATTTAGAGAGCTCCATGGATGCAATGATGCTACAGAAGCCGAATTGAAGTTACTTCTCATATTCGAGCAGTCGAAGCAGAAGGAGTTTTCGGCAAAAAAGCAGTTCGTATACGCGACCGTCGAAAAACTCTCCGTGGCGTTGAAGCAACGTTATTTCTGGAAAGTGGTGATGTTGTGCGTAGTGGTAATCGTGAATAGGGTGGCCGGAGGAAGAGTCCTCTATAACACAATGGCAATAACTATACTGCAAGAAATGACCGGCAGTTCGAATATTCTACTGTTCATGGTACTCGTGGATGGGCTAATTATTGTAGGGTCCATTTTGTCGTGCATCTTTCTAAGATCGATGAAGATGAGGACTCTTCTGTTTCGCTTTGGATTAATTTCCAATACTGCTTTAGTGGTATTGAGCGTTTTCCTTTATTACGTACCGTCAAATTAACGTGTGCTTCGCGTGGATTTCATCTTCCCTATTAGCGTTTTACTTCATCGTTTCGTATGCCGGTCCGTATGCAGTGCTGGAAGTGTTGCTAGCCGAAATATTTCCCTTGGAATTTAAATCATTTCTAACATTCGCGTCGGGAGTTTTCGCTGGATTTGCGATATTCTTGAGCGTGAAGTTAGCGCCGAGGATGTTCGATACCATGGGTTACCATGGAGTGTTTCTATTGAACTCTGCAATTGTGTTTCTATGCTTAGGCTGCCTGTGGGTAAACATGCCGGAAACGAAGGGACGGACGATGCAAGAGATCGAATTATACTTTAGGCACGGCAAATTTGCAGATAACAAAGACGTTACGAATTTTGAACAGTCGCAATATTTTATGGAAGTATGAACTAGATTAATATAAATTGTTATATATCCTCAAATCATATGAATTGTTGGCTTAATTTGTAAACAATTTTATAAAGAGAACCGATAAACAATCAAACTTATAATTCAAAACTGATATGGGTGTCTATGACTGTGCTGAAGAAATGGGTTCGATTCCCACAGCGGCGACATTCTTCGTACTTTTTCTACATGTTTTAATTTTACTGATATGTGTGGTTTAGATTATCATAATTGTCGTGCATTGATGTTGGCATCGTCGATATTGTCGCTTGTGCTTGTTATTACTTTGTGGGCGGACTAAACACTGATGTTAGGTACTCATCACCAACATAACCGCCACAAGATGCATTACTGAAAATAGGCTATATACTGTTTTTTGCATAGAATTTCTATTGGTAACTTATAAATTTTTTTTATTTATTTGCCATGCTTTGTGTACGAAAATTCTTATTTTTAATTTATATGCTGTACTTTTTGAGTTATATATAAAATAAAATTGCTGCAATACATTACATTTTATTGTGATTAATTATCAATTATGTATATTAGAATAGTAATATATTAGTAACATCCTATTAATAATAATCATTATTAATAAATCCTGTTGATGCTAGCTCTATTTTAGGCAATTTAATTTGTTAACTTAGTTTTTCTGTTGTTTTTACGTTCAGCTTTATTACTTGTAACAAAGAAACCAGTAGACAGTAGCTATTACTAATACGTTGAATATAGTAACTGGGAATCAAAAATGTACCAAAGATATGGTCGTTTTTCCAACTGGATGTGAGCAAACGTACACGCTAAAGCTAGTGAATATATAAATAGATACCTTAAGAAAGGTATCTCTTCACCAACTACACAACCTTAACTAACCCTTAACTAACTGCACAACTTAATAACTTCGTCTTTGATTGGATACAATATTATTAATTTTTAGCCACCGAAAAATTCAATTTACTCGAGTAACCTGAGCTAAATATGATAAGATGTACGCTCACAACATTGAAGAAGTTCCGCGTGTCAAGCGAGATCATTTTCCATGGTCAATCATCGTGACTCGTTAGCTGGTCATTAGAGTCTCATATAAGAACTTAAGTGATGTATATTTTTGTGAGGAAGGCGTATCAACGAATGCAGTTGTGTATCAAAATACAGTATTCACAAAGCTCGTGTAAACTCTTTCTTATACCATGTATATATATATATATATATATATATATATATATATATATACACACATAGACCTCCGCCAGAGACTACCATGAAGTACGATTCATCCTGATGCATCATGAGCCACCTGCATCCATCAACTTTCCGAACATTTGCACAGATCGTCATTCCATCTAGTGAGGGACGTCCTTCATTGCGGGCCGTATGAGCCCGCAATGAAGGACGGTGGTAACGTATTAACTTTATATATAGGTGGTAACTTACGAACGTATTAATTTTTATGTAAAATTTTTGACATTTCATAAGAACACGCAAGCGTCTATGTGAATAAATATATTTTTGATTTTGATTTTATCGTTTACGAATTGTACTGAGTGAAACCTAAGTACGCCGGACCCACGTCCCGCCAGATAACACAACACACACACAGTTAGTGCAACAACACACACATAGTTTGTCCTCGCCTTCGAGCACGGCGAAACCAACACAACGCGTACACTAGGTACACCCGCGTTCCAGGGCGGTTCTCACCGCCCCCAGCCACCGATGACACAGCACGGTCAACGGACATCGGGGTCACGGTCCGCACCGAACCCCGATAGCCCTGTGGAGGCCCTCTAACCCGTGGGTTCTGGCTAGACCACCGGTTCTGCGTTCGATGAAGCTTTAATATCTCGGGACTGAAAGCGTTAACATCAGTTTAAAAAAAAACTGAGTGGAACCTAGTATCCAAACCTGTTCCAGTATATACGTCACACCTCTAGTACAGATAAAATTTCAGTTCTTGTTACATTTATAATTGCTTTTACTTTTTTTCTCAATTTACGGAATATAAAACAGCTAATAACATTTTATTTTAATGTCATGAATACCAATCGTTGCCATGAATACCAATCGTTGTCATGAATACCAATCGTTACAATCATTAATGGAAATCTTCAATGGAAACTTTCCTACCTAACAGTGTTTAGTGCATTAGTTACTATTTGTAAGTCTAGTCTACAACGATAGACGAGACGATGACATGTGCCCAGATTTTGCGAATGATATACTTAAATTCTTTAGATAATATATAATAATTTGTATTCAATGTAACACTAAATAATAGGTACATATGCTTATTTTTGTCATTGTGCTCGTGATATGTATCGGTTCATAAAACTATGCTTGATGAAGTTGATGGAATAATATTACATTGGTTGTATGTAAACATCTAAAACATTTCAGGCCGTTGTTACAACGGGCTTAGCTCTATGCAGTGTTTCCGATGGATTTATTTTCGGCCAGATGTCTGGGATGGTGGGCGCACTGCGCTCAAAATATGACAGGATCACTATCAGCGAAAACGATGTGTCATGGATTGGTAACGCTCGATTTTATTATTATATTTTTTATAATTTACAGTTTGTGGTTTAGAAAGAAAGAAAGAAAAAACATTTATTTACCAAAACAAAGGACGATAAAATAAAAAGTAAAATTAATAAAAAATAAAAAATTACTTATAAATAATTCAGTAAAGCAAAAGAACACAAATACATAATGAAAATATAAAACAAATAAAAAAGAATTTTAAAGTTTTTTATAGTGCTAATCTCTGCACTTAAGATTGAACATGTAGAACATGTCAAACATGTAGAAAAAGTACGAAAAGATTATCGCCGCTGTGGGAATCGAACCCACGTCTTCGGCATTCGCGGCCTGACGCTCTAGCCACTGAGCTAATCGGCTGATAGCCACAGCGACGAAAATCTTAACGCCTTCTTTCTACATTGTTATTTAGCATTTGAAGCAATGCTTGTTTTAAGCATATTTGTTCTATCCCGTTCTTATGTGCCTATTACACTTATACACTACTGTCTAATCTACACAGTCTTACATTACACGCGTACGTATCTCTATTCTGCTACGTATACACAAGATATACTACATCATATACACAACAAAGGAAGGTACTCAATCCTATATACTAAAATGACTAACCACTATACACATATATGCTGTTACACGGAAAGGAAATATTTAAATATTAAATTATTACTTCTTATACTAGTGCGTAGAAACCAATTTGAGCTGAAAACGTTGTTTTCTAAGAAGCACAACATTGCTAGGACTGCCCAAAGAGAATTTTATTTTTTATCTTTTATTAATAACTTTATGATTACTACTCGAGCGATAAAGTATTTCTTAACTTCTTTCACTCACCGTTTTATGATTGGTTTACATTTTTTGAATATTTATGTCTTGAAAATATATTTTACACGCTTTAAAAATGGATGATATTCATAACATTGCAAACAATTTGGATTCCTTCTCCATAGCCGAATCTGCTCTTTGCGATGTTGAAGATTGTTCCCAATTGAATCCCAACACCAAGAAGTCGCTCAAAATTATATGTCAAAATATAAGAAGTATCTCTCATAACTTCTCTGGCTTCCTTACTTTGATTGCAAGAACTAAAGTGCGTTGGGATGTTATTGTTCTAACAGAGTGTTGGTTACAAACAACAACTACCTTACCCTTATTAGATGGCTACAAAGCCATTTCCACAACTCTCAACTACACACAAAATGACGGAGTCGTGGTCTATGTTAGCAGTCATCTCGTCATATCGTTCGAGGAGTTACATTTTGGAAACGCAAATGGTTTACTTTTAAATATTAACTCAGAAATTGCAATTCTAGCTATCTACCGCTCACCCGCTACGAGGGATACCACTGAATTTACAAATTCATTAGATGCTATTCTGGGCAGAATTAATCATATTAAAAGTGTAATTCTTGTAGGTGATATTAACATCAATATTAGCGAAAATCATCATGATCAGCGTAAGATTAATTATCTTAATGTATTGGCAGCATACGGTTTATTGCCGGCTCATACATTTGCCACTCGATATGATAACTGCCTTGACCATGTTATGCTTAAGTCTAAACTACCATCAAAGGCACTCGTTATGCATTCGTCTTTAACTGATCATGACACTGTAGCTCTTTTTCATGTAAGTCAATTCCGTAGACAATACGCCGTTACCACAGTATATTGTACAGATTATAAAGGAATAATATCTGACCTGACTAAGATCCACTTCTCTACTTTGTACTCTACTGACTATCCCAATGTCGCTGCCAACTATTTGGTTCAATCTCTTAAACATGTTATCGAACGTAACACAAAGAAAA